TGCACAACTGATCAACACACAGACTTCACAGAGTGAGGTTCCACTGGTGATGTAGTTTAACACAATGACCGTGGCTTCTCAGTCTGTTGCAGCCTTCTTCCACCTTCGCAGCCGTTGTAACATGTGCCATGTTATCCTCCGCCTGCTCCGCCGTTGAGGTCTTTGGGTCTTCGGACTGTGCTTGGTCTGGAACCTCCCCCGCGGCCACTCCTGGGAGTGCACGACTCCAGTTGTTGTGCCTACAGGTTCATCGGAACGCGCAAGCCCCCTCACCACGACAAGGTGACAGTCCATCGGGGGGAAGCATCATTAAGTTGGAAGAGACCTCATGGGCCATCCAGTCCAACCCCCTGCCAAGTAGCAGGAAAATCACATTCAAAGCACCCCTGACAGATGGCCATCCAGCTTCTGTTTACAAGCCTCCAAAGAGGGAGCCCCACCACACTCTGGGGCAGAAAGTTCCACTGCTGAACAGCTCTCACAGTTAGGAAGTTCTTCCTCACGTTCAGGTGGAATTGGCTTTCCTGTAGTTTGAAGCCACTGTGTCTAAGGGCCCTTCCACACAGCCCTATATCCCATAATAGCAAGGCAGAAAATCCTACAGTATCTGCTTTGAACTGAGTTATCTAAGTCCACAGTCAGATAATGTGGGATTTTCTGCCTTGATATTCTGGGATATAGGGCTGTGTGGAAGGGTCCCTAGTCTCCAGGTCCGCAGAAAACAAGCTTGCTCCCTCCTCGCTATGACTCCTCTCACATAGCCAATAACACAGTATTGAAGACCTTTTCTTCCTGGGTAAAAACATCACAAACTCTATATTAGGTGTGTTGATTTCAGAACAAATATTCTAAAGCAAGAAATTCAGACTTGCAACCTGGTAGATAGTTTTTTTGCATTGCCTTTACCTACTTAATTTATGCATTTTAGGTCAAATGTGCGACCAAGAGGAAGATGTGCTTTCCACAGATCTTACTCATGTGCAGAGCACTGAACTTGTCTTGCCTCCTCATGCCAATCATCAAGGAAACACATTTGGTGGCCAAATTATGACTTGGATGGAAACAGTAGCTGCTATTTCAGCAAGGTATTGCCTTTCTTTCTGAACAAGAAGATGATTTAACATTCTTTGCTGACAGATATTAGTGGACAAGTCTAGTGCATAATGCAAGCCTTTTCCTTTTTGTCTATTTCTGTAATGTTCATCTAATCATGCAGAGAATTCCATCATCCCCCTGTTGCTTGGTACATGTAGATCTCTCTCTTTGTGTGTGTGAGACATGCATTTCTATTAGAATTCCCTTCACACACCAGTGGACCTGATTCATTGCTAGGATGCTGGATGTGTCATTCCCATTCATTATTCATGTAGCTTTGATTTGTAACCTGAAGTTATACCAATAATAACTGGGTTTGCTTTGTTGCAAGACAAACAGCTCATTTGATTAAAAGTGCAAATCTGTCAAAGGTTTTACACAGTCATGACCTGAGTGATAGCATTTATGTGTAAGCATACATTTCATATATTTGAATGTGTAAATGTCCCATTCCCACCAGATAAAACTGCTCTAGCAAAATGTGGTGCTGGGGTTGTCAGACCTACTTACAAAAAAATAACAGCACATCAATTCGCAAATATATCCTTTATTGGGAATGGGGAATGGTGACGGAGACCTGCCCATTCTGCCTGACAAGTAACTGACCTTGCTGCAAAGATTTTGTAAAACAACGCACAATTAGATTTGACCTTTGAAGGTGCCAGTTAGAGTTGCTATGGCCACAGACTTACAAGGAATAAGAATGAGATTTTTTTTTGGCACTCAGAGAACAAACCAAAAGGTTTCTGTGAAATTTAAATGATCTTTCTTAAAAGTTTAAATATTCTTATACTAATGGAGAAGCATTGTTGGACTCAGCAGAAACACACTAGAATGAGACCTGGGGTTTTTTTTTTCTTCCAAGGATATTATACCATCTATAAAAGGATGGAAGGTTTAACCTTTCCAATAAAATGCTATCTATTTGGAAATCAACCATGATAGTTAAAACAAAAAGATTCCAAACTTCATCTTATTCATTCCCATCTCCATTCTTGACATTAATCTGCTTGTGTCTTTATTGTGAGTATTGCAAATGAGATATTTAGCAATTTAAATAGGAGGAGCAAATTATTCCTAATGAAAAAACCAGAGTAATTTGAATGCATTATAAAGATGCACAATTCAATTAATTAGAAACAGATAATTGTGCACGCTTAACAATTCTGGTACATCATAAAGGGTAATTGAGTTAAAGCTGAGGATAAATAGTAGTCCAAAACAGTGTAATGTCTTAAGAGCTAAACAAAGGTTAGAGATACATTTTATACTTGCAACAGCGTTACTTGTCTATAGTAAAAGGTTGCACTAGTTCTTAGCATTTTATAAAAAAGATACATATTATTCAAATAACCTTACTAAAGGATTTAGTGTATTTCTTGCATATCAAGTAATTCAGTTTGTGGATATTTTAAAAAATAGATTTTTCTCTGTTTACTTATACCATATGGTTAAGTAGACGCTGTTGCCCAAAATCTTGTAGGCATACTACATTAATGGCTGCACTGTTTTCAGGGTCGTAACAATAATTGTGAGAGAAGCCAGACAAAGTGCACAGACATTGCACAACCTCTTTTCCAGTCCCTTACCTCCTTCATGGTCTTTGTGCTGTGGCCTTTTCATTCCCGTCACCACTGGCTATAACAGAGTCATCCACACACAGGATTCTGGCCATTAACTTCACATTTAAAGTGCAATTTCCCACATCCTCTTTTTTTCCTCATGGGCAGAAGATTTCATAGGAGCCCAACCAAGGGACTCCAGAAGGGCTGATGTCCAATTCAGATATGTACTGAACAGCCTTATTTCTCATTCTCCATAGTTGCATTCCACTTTAGTCTAGTAATGCAAGTTTTGTTTTAAAAAATTGAGAAAACAACTATGTCAGGCGTGAAACACTAGGAAATATAGGATTACTTCCCTGCAATTGATGCCTCTCCCATAATGAAGGAATAATTACATTACAAAGGAAAATTACATTACAAATGTTTACAATGATGGGTCACTTCACCTTTTTGTAGAACAACTGTAACTTTTTAATAATAGCTTGTATAGGTAAAGAGGTATGCCTCCATGAAATGGAGAAGAATATTGCCTGTTTCAGGCACTAGTTTGTGATAATGTTTCATGCCTTTTTGGGGGGTGTTCGGGCAACAACAGGGGACAAGAGAAGAATGTGCTTTGGACCATGAATCAGCACATTGCAGTATTTGGATGTTTATTTTTAAAACTAGATAAAAAGCAAATTTTACTTTTGAGAAATGAGAACGTTATCATAAATGTTTTAAAAATAGCTGTATCATCCATGAGTAGTAACCATAATAGGGCTAAACAATACATTTGCCAGGAGGTAAGGGAAGGGTTTTGGGCAGAGTAGCTAATATCACAACCTCACATTTTATTGGAGTTAGAATGACCACAACTTTCTTAGGGAGAATTATTAGAGCCTTGACATATCATAGGGCAATTATAGATGCACTGGATAACTGGATGTTGACTACTGACTCTACGTGTTGCTGCCTGATGGGAAATTGCAGAATAATAATGAACAGGATCCTCAAAGGCATCTCCTTTGTCTATCTCCCCATGCAGAGATCAGGCCAGGGAGCACCGAACAGAGCATGCTCCTTGGTGCCTTCATCTTCAAGATTCTTTTAAGGGCATCCCCAAAACCACTTTGAATCTCCTTTGGCAGAGAAAAAGCAGGGTATAAACAACAACAAACAAACAAACAAACAATAAATAAATAAATAAATATGTAGGTCTCCCCCCCCCCCCCCCTCAGCTGAGCCCAATCAAAATTCCAAATCCTAAAGTTAGGACAAGGAATTCTACATCAAAGACCACAGTTACCAAAACCAATAAAAGGCAAAAATAGTCATTATGCGAGTGCCATATTCAAGCGAGCGAGGGATAGTGGCCAAAGGGGAATGGCTATGTGATCCTTAAATCCTTCTTGGCTGTCCACCAAGAGGCCAATCAGCCCAATTGCCTGGCTGCTGGGTGTGTTGTGTCCAGTGGGAGACAAAAATGAAAAGACATGCCACTACAGCCAGGAAATAAACCTGTGTTTTACTGGATCGCTAAAAACTGTTATTTTAACCTCCATTTTTCAAATTGAAATCAGAATTGGAATTAGATTTGATCTTTTCCTGTTTGTAGAGATTTTGCTGTTCACTAATATGTACAAATCAAAACTGATACACATTTTATTTTGTTTTTCTTTATTTCCTATTTTGATTCAGTCGCCTATGTCATATGCACCCAACTTTGAAATCTGTAGATATGTTTAAATTTCGTGGACCTTCTACTGTTGGTGACCGGCTAGTTTTCAATGCTATAGTTAACAATACTTTTGAGAAAAGGTAAGATTCCCTTTCTATGTAACAAACTCTGAAACATTGCCCCAAATTACTTTGATTTTGGAACTATGTTTTTTTTTAACAAATTGCAGTAAAAATATACAAATGAAAATATTAAAAACATTACTGTTAGGCATTAAAAACGTCCTATTTGGGTAACTGCTAATATTAAATATAGTAATATTTTACTATATTTTACTATGTGTATTGTTGGCATCGAATTGTGCCTTTTGTAAGCCACCCTGAGTCCCCCTTCGGGGATTGAGAAGGGCAGGGTAGAAATGCTCGAAATAAATAATATATAGTCTCTGATCTGCACATAAATTCATGTATATTATCATTGTCTATCATATCAGTGTTCTACTTTAATTATATATGTTAATTTTAAAACCTGTAACACAATTTAAGCTACTAAACTGAAGGTGTGGTACTTTGGACTTATCATGAGACTATTTCTTTCTTCATTTAGCAAGCCAGAAGTGAATTGAGGGTATAGTTATAATGTATTAGAAAGCACAAACTAAGTTAAACACTTGGCATTATACTAAATGTCCTTTGACCAGAAGCTGGCCACTTGGAGTGCGTCTGGTGTTGCTATGAGAAGGTCCTCCATTGTGCATGTGCAGGGCTCAGGTTGCATTGTAGTAGGTGATCTATGGTTTGCTCTTCTCCACACTTGCATGTCATGGATTCCACTTTGTAGCCCCATTTCCATTTTGATACAAATCATACCAAGGAGACAGGCCTTAGACCAACAATTTGCTCAGTGCAAAAAAAATCCTGAGGTAAGGCATGACTATCTGATGACTGTCCAGAATTTTTTAAAAAAGACTTCCAGTAATAGAAAGTTCACTGTTCCTCTAGATATTTAGCTTTAGTGTTAAAACTTTGTACCCAAAGCCTCCCTTAATAGCCAAAGAAGTTTATCTTCCTGTAATTTCAAGGCAATTGGTTCTAGCCCTGCCCTTAAGACACATCTGCATTAACATCTGTGTTTCAAGCTTTCAGGTGTGTGAAGAATACTATCATGTCCTCTTCAGTCTTCTCTTCAAATAATGTCAACCTTTGCTTTCCAAAGAGGTTATAGTATAGCTTTATTGAACCAGAGGTTCCTGGAAACCACAGCCTCTGTGGCCAGGCCAGCTGGCAATTAAGGGAGTTAGAGTCCAAAATATAGTTTCCACGTTTGCTTTCCCATTAGTAATGCCCTGCTGGAGGCGTCTAAACTGTGGCTGCTAAATTCATTCAATGATTTCCTTTCAGTATTGAGGTTGGAGTTCGTGTTGAAGCCTACAACTGTGAGGAATGGGGCAAAGGTCAAGCACGACATATCAACAGTGCCTTTCTAATTTTCAATATTTTAAACAAACATGGAGAATCTCTCACTGTCCCCAGAGTAAGACCTACAACAGAGGTGAGCGCTTTTTAATAGAGTGGACGCAGTTGTAGATAAAGGATTATCACATTACTTGGTTTATAAATGTGAGGCAAATTATCATGGAAGTGACTCTTTAAACAACACCTTGAGGCAATTTCTTGAACATCTCATTTCAGTTTCTGATTCTAAGATGCTTGATATTGATATGTTACCTGGAAGGTGATTATTTAAGTCATACCTGTGAATCACGATGTAATTTGTTGGCCTAAATATCCCCGAGGCATCAGATCTTGCCTAAACTTGGAAGCTAAGTGGGATCAGCCCTGGTTACTATTTGTATGGGAGATTGCTAACGATAATCAGATGCTGCAAACTATTTTTCAGAGGAAAAAAATTACAAAACTACCTCTGAGTGTTCATTGCGGAAGAAAACATAATGCATGGGATTGCCATAAGTCAGGAGGTGACTTAAAGGCACATACCCACACACGGTATCACTCCCAGGTGAAAGATCTTATAATAACTACTATCTGATTCTAAGACAGATGAAGTTTGGGCTTTTCAGGTTGCTTTGTAGTTTGCATTATAGTCTTGGAAATTTGGCGGATACAATCTGTTAGTGTATTTTGAGATTTAGATAAATGAGATCAATATGTTTAATTTGGGCTGTGGTGCAGCTAGTTAGTAGCCAGCTGCATTAAATCACTACTGACTGTGAGGTCATGAGTTCGAAGCCAGCCCGGATTGGAGTGAGCTCCCAACCATTAATAGTCTAGCATGCTATTGACCTATGCAGTCTGAAAGACAGTTACATACGTCAAGTAGGAAATTTAGGTACCACTTTTTGTGGGGAGGATCATTTAACTAATTATGACACCATGTGTAAAAATGAGGAAGTACTCCATCAAGGACTTGGTGTCACAAGTGGACAGTAAAGCGGCAGCTCCCCCTGTAGCCAGAATTGAGCATACCCTCATGAAGCTGGAAAGCTAGAATGTTAAATTGTCTTTGTGTCTGTCTATATATGTTGTATGTCTATGCCACTTAATGTTTGCCATGTATATGTGCATTGTAATCCTTCCCGAGTCCCCTGCGGGGTGAGAAGGGTGGAATATAAAGGCTGTAAATAAATAAATAAATAAGAGTTGTTAAAATATATAAATTGTAACTATTCTTTTTTTTCTTACTTTATTCTTGTGAAGGATGCTTTAAGGAGATTCCATGGAGCTATTGCACGCAAGAAAATTAGATTAACCAGGTATTAATAATCCTGAAACTTGAAGGTATTTAAATTACCACTACCAGTACAAGTGATGTTATTTTTCAAGCTATGTAATGCTGATTATGTTTGATGTGTGCAAATACTCACCTTATGATAAAATCCTCATGTGCTATATATGCACCAGTGTGATATTAGACTTCAGCTAGGCAGTATCTGTTACCTTTCCCACAAACATCCTGAGATTTCTTGCTGCTTATTAAGAATCAGAGAACAAGAATAAGTTGATGTTTGATTAGGATTGCCATTCTCTTGCCTGAAAGTGAAGACCTTCATACTCCACAGTGCTGAAACAGGAAGCAGGTGCTATATTTCTTGCATTTCCCTCCACTATTACCTGTGTCACATCCTCCCACCGGGCTGGCCCTGCAGCTCTAAAACTTTGGTCTCATGTCACTACCCTTGCCACCTTTCCCCTTCAAGATCCCCCCATGATTGCATACTTCAGTCTCAAGGTGATCCTTATATGGACCAGTGGATTGTTTTTCTGTGAGTGTGACCATACTCTACGGGCACATCTACACTATCGAATTAATGCAGTCTGACACTTTTATCTTCCATGGCTCAAGACTATGGAATCATGGGACTTGTAGATTTACAAGGTCTTTAGCCTTTCTCTGCCAAAGAGTGATGGGGCCTCACCAAATTACAACACCCAGGATTTCATAGCATTGAACCATGACAGTTAAAGCAAGGTCGGCCTGCATTAATTCAACACAGTAGATGCACCCTGTATCAAAACATAACCGAAATAGCCAGACATAGTTGCAAAAAAAAAAAAAAGAATTAAAAAATGCAAGTTTATTGATACACAATTGAATCAAACAACTCCTGAACTATTTCAGCACTGATAGCTCCACAGTTCTTTCCCCTGACTGAATGTCCTATTTCTATTATAGTTTTCCCTAACTTTGTGCCATCTTTTTCCTATCTTGTGTGATTGCACTGCTTGATAACACTGTACAAAAATCCAGGTATTTTTGTAGAACACATAGAGCCTACAAGACTATACATAGTTAATTTAGTGCAGCACTGGGGAGATTTATATGGCCTAAGGGCCCAATTGATTCTGACCAAGTACATTAGGGACTCACTCGGTTGTTGTAGGTTTTTCAGACTGTATGACCATGTTCTAGAAGCATTCTCTCCTGATGTTTTGTCTGCATCTGTGACAGGCATCCTCAGAGGTTGTGAGCCTGAAAAACCTATAACAACCCATATTAGGGGCTACTTGCCAGCAGTGGGTGATGCCACATATCAAAGCAGGAAGACCGCACAACGTCTGAGGATGCCTTCCATAGATGCAGGTGAAACGTCAGGAGAGAATGCTTCTAGAATATGGTCATACAGCTCGAAAAACCTACAACAACCCATATTAAGGACTACTTGCCAGCAGTGGGTGATGCCACATACCAAGGCAGGAAGACCTCACAACCTCTGAGGGTGCCTGCCATAGATGCAGGCAAAATGTCAGGAGAGAATGCTTCTGGAATATGGTCATACAGCTCAAAAAACCTACAACAACCCACATTAGGGACTACCTGCTAAATTAACTATCAACAGGAAGACCCCTACTACTCAAATATGAGCCATGATCTGAATGCCCAGATGGCCATCTTTAAGGACCAAAATCCCTGTCCTCCCAAATGCTTGTCTTGTTCTTCAGTTAGTCTTTTAAAAGCCTCCACTGACATCTGCTGGTGAATGCGATCTTGATTCTTCCTCCACTCTCATAGCCAGAATCTGGTTTTAGTTGCTAGTTTCTTTGACAACATATAGGAAGGCACTGCTTAGTTGAAATGTGTTTGGAAGTTGAATGATATAGGGGTTTTTTGTCATTTATTTTAATAAGAAGAGCTTTTAAGTTTGTTAATTTCCTTTGCTTTCTTCTGGTCCTTTTTCTACATGATATCCCCTACAGGAAATATGATCTCTTGAAGAAGGAAGACAGTTGCATCCCTGAATCCTGGGACAGAGGCAATCAAGTAAGATTTATAGTGGGATGGGCATTGTGTACCCTCCCAGATGTTGTTCGACTGCAGGCTTCAGCAGCCCCAGTCAACATAGCTTTTGGTGAGGTATACTGGCAGTTGAAGTCATTTAAATTTGAGCCTTTAATGCAGTGCTTCCCAAATTGTGGTCTTTCTGGTATTTTTGGACTTCAGCTCCTTAGAATCCATGATTGCTGGCAAGATAACAGAGGCTTCTGGTAGCTGATCCCAAATGCAGAGGAATGTAGTTTGGGAATGACTGCTTCAATGTATGCATCCCTCATGCAAAATATTTAGGCTATGTCAAACTGTGATATAACCCAAGTGAGGAGAATGGACATCACTGGCAGACCGAAGTAGATTTGTGGATCAGTTTTCAATTATTGCAATAGTGCAACAACCAGGAACATGGGTTGCTGTGAGTTTTCTAGGCTGTATGGCCATGTTCCAGAAGCATTCTCTCCTGACATTTCACCCATATCTATGGCAGGCATCCTCTGAGGTTGTGAGGTCTGTTGGAAACTATGGAAATTGTTTCTCCAGTGTGGGAGAAAGATCTCTTGTCTGTTGGAGGCAAGTGTGAATGGCAACGTTCACCACCTTGATTAGCATTGAAAAGCCTTTCATCTTCAAAGCCTGGCTGCTTCCTGCCTGGACGAATCCTTTATTGGGAGGTGTTACCTGGCCCTGATTGATTCCTGTCTAGAATTCCCCTGTTTTTGAGTGTTGTTCTTTATTTCCTGTCCTGATTTTAAAGTTTTTTTAAAAAAATATTGGTATCCAGATTCTATCCATTTTCATGGTTTTCTCCTTTCTGTTGAAATTGTCCACATGCTTGTGGATTTCAATGGCTTCTCTGTGTAGTCTGACATGGTGGTTGTGGGAGTGGTCCAGCATTTCTGTGTTCTCCGATAATATGCTGTGTCCAGGTTGGTTCATCAAGTACTATGCTATGGCTGACATAGGTTGAATTAGTCAGCAGTGGCTTTCATGTCCCTTGATTCATGTTTGAGCACTGTGTTTGGTGGTCCTAAAGGCTGGCTACTTCTCCCAGGTAGGAAGCAGCCAGATTTTGAAACTGCAAGACTTTTCATGGCTAATCAGTTTGGCCAGTTGCAACAGTCACACTTGCCTCAAACAGACAAGAGTTCTTTCTCCCACCCTGGACATTCCATAGATATTTAAACCCCACTTGCCTAGTTTCCAACAGACCTCACAACCTCTGATGATGGCTGCTATAGTTGTGGGTGAAACGTCAGGAGAGAATGCTTCTGGAACATGGCCATACAGCCTGGAAAACTCACAACAACCCAGTGATTCCGGGCATGAAAGCCTTCGACAACACATTAAACCAGGAACATGATTTTCAAAAAATTGATCTTGTAAGTCCAGTTTATGACATAGTAAATACTGAGCAAGATGCATGTGTTGGAATCTCTGTAAAGATAGGTTGCTCTGATTTTTCCTCTTGTATTTCTATCACTGTGGATACTTGTTCATTTGTAATACATGACTGTTTCTATTTGGCTGCATCTTCAGAGGTTTGGTTAACCCATTAGTGAAAATTAGTCGCTTTTAATCAGCATTCTCTTGAACAATGTGAGAGATACAATTTGGTTCCCATTTGTGAACATGTTCAAGACCTTGGGTTTTTTTTTAACCCTTTCTGAGAAGTAAAAGTGTCTTAGATGGTTATTGTATTTTAGGTAAATGTAATCGAGAGCAATGTTGCAGCACTGACAATCCTGGCAGCAAAGTCTGGATGGGAAATAAACAGCACTCAAGACCATGTAAGTATTGAATCCTGCAAGAATGTGTGTACATTTCCCATCTTATTGCTCTAAAGGAGTTAATGTGGATGTGTGCTTCTCTCTAATTCAACTAGAAACAGAATGCTAAATGCTCAGGAATAAAACCGTCACATGCTCAGCGCTAACGATTTGACATTCAGAACCTGTCTTCCAGCAACATACTAATTAGCCGTTATAGAGTAAGGAGATGGAGGTACGATAGATTAGTAAAAACAAAACCATCATTTTGTTTCTATGTGTTAAAAACAGGAATCACACAAATACATTTGACAGTTTTAGAAAGTGCCTGAACTCTTGTCAGGCAGCTCTTTTGTTGTATAAATGTTTTCATGTGAAGGACGGGGGTTTAAGATATAGGCCAAGATCCCACATTGTGAGATGTTGCTACAACAACGGAGCTCCACCATTAGAGTTGTGTCTCCTTCTGCTAATCTTAGAAAATGTACCTTTTCAGCAGCAAACAGGAGGATTTCGATGTCACTGGAGAGCAGAGGGGTGTGCAATGACACATCCAGCGCTTTGCCATGGGACCTAAGAAAACCTTCTGTTGGTGATGCTGTACAGCTGTAATGGTAGTATCATAGAGTTGGAAGAGACCTCAAGGTCCATCCAGTCCAACCCTCTGCCATGCAGGAAAAGCACAATCAAAGCACCCCCAACAGATGGCCATCCAGCCTCTGTTTAAAAGCCTCCAAGGAAAGCTTCTCCACCACACTCTGAGGCAGAGAGTTCCAGTGTTGAACAGCTCAGAGGGGTCTTCCTAGTGTTCAGGTGGAATTTTTTCGTGTACTTTGAACACATTGCTCCGTATTAGTCTCCAGGGCAACGGAAAACAAACCTGCTCCCTCTTCCTTATGACATCCTTTCACATATTTATACATGACTATCATGTCTCCTCTCAACCTTCTCTACCACAAGCTAAACATACCCAGCTCTTTAAGACACTCTTCATAGGGCATGGTCTCCAGACCTTTGATCGTTTTAGTTGCCCTCCTCTGGTTATTTTCCAGTTGTCAATTGAACTGTGTCTTGAATTGTGTTTCCCAGAATTGGACACAATATTCAAGGTGAGGTCTGAGCAAAGAAGAATAGAGAGGCATCATTTCTTCCCTTGATCTAGACACTTCAGCCCTCCGGGTGTTTTAGACTTCAATTCCCACAATTCCTAACAGCCTACCAGCTATTGGGAATTGTAGGAGTTTGGGGTTTTTTTTGGTTGTGTCAGGAGTGACTTGGGAAACTGCAAGTCACTTCTGGTGTGAGAGAATTGGCCGTCTGGAAGGACGTTGCCCAGGGGACGCCCGGATGTTTTTGATGTTTTATCATCCTGTGGGAGGCTTCTCTCAGGTCCTCGCACGAGGAGCTGGAGCTGATAGAGGAGCTCATCCGCCCTCTCCCTGGATTCGAACCTGCGACCTGTCGGTCTTCGGTCCTGCCGGCACAAGGCTTTAATCCTCTGCACTACCGGGGGCTCCATTTTGTGAGTTGAAGTCCAAAACACCTGGAGGGCTGAAGTTTGCCCATGCCTGCACTATACCCTACTCGATGCAGCCCAAAATCCCACTGACTTTTTTTAGGTTTGAGGGAGCACTTTTAGTTGTTGCCATGGTGTAAAGGTGAAACCCATAATTTATGATGTCGTAAGTCCAACATATAGTATCATAAATGAGTCCCATTTACTGAGAGAATGAGGATTGCAACAAGGTTCTGCATTGGGAGACAAAGCTGTGATGACGGGTGAGTTCCTGTTGTGACATGTCTCCACTAAAACTGTGCTGAAATGATCCCTGTGTTTCTTTACTGATTTCTGAGATGTCTTTATGACTGCCACAGTCACAACTGCAGTATCTATGGATCTTATTTATGTGTCTGAAAAAAAATCGTATAGGCTCAGAATGTAGGAGTTGCTTCTGTGTCGTTTTAAAGAGTGGATATGAAAAAAGGGATAGGATTTAGGTAAAGGTTTCTCCTTGGCATTAAGTCTAGTCGTGTCTGACTCTAGGGGTGATTGTGCTCATCTCCATTTCTAAGCTGAAGAGCCGGCATTGTCGGTAGACACCTCCAAGATCATGTGGCCAGCATGGCTGCATGGAGCACCGTTACCATCCTGCAGAAGTGGTACCTACTGATGTACCCACACTTGCATGTTTTTGAACTGCTAGATTGGCATAAGCTGGGGCTAACATCGGGAGCTCACCCTGCTCCCCAAATTTGAATTGCCAGCCTTTCAGTTAACAAGTTCAGCAGCTTAGCGGTTTAACCTGCTGCACCCCAGGGGGCTCCCAGAATAGATTAAAATAACATTAATTCCCATTAGTAAAAATTATACAACACTGCAATAAATTCCTTAAGAATCCTTTAAAAAAATGAACAAATCCCAAAACTTTTAAATTTGAATTCACGTAATATTTTTTTTCCAGGTAAAAATGTTCACTCTAGAGGAGACGGATGCTTTGTCAATCAAGGTTGAAATGCAAGTACAGATACCATCAAACCTCGCTTTTTATATTTTATCGGACTTCACTCTCCATATGCACTGGGTTAAACAATATTTGTAAGTGTAATTTTACATTTTTAATTCTGTGCCAGTTTTCTTGATTGAGTTTGAGTCCTTTAGCTGCTGGCTTTGAGAGATACGACTGATTAAAAGTCAAACTGGTTTTTATAATATTCAGTAATGTGGCAGGAAAGATGGCTGAATGCCAAAGGTAAAATAATAACCTTTGATTCATGTAAAACATGCACTGAACTGGTACAAATATAATCTTGTGTTGGAAGGAATGGGTTAACAAATAGAATGAAAAGGAAATTAGTACCTGTCAGGTAGTTCTATGAAGATTTTTGACTGAAAACATGAATAAACCTCTTAGAAGCTTTTACATATTAAAAATCAGATAGCCTAATCCAAACACACGCAGAATTTGAGAACAACTCTTCTGTTACACAGCTGTTCATCCAAATCAAAGATGGAAGTTGTGAGATGACAGAACTATGAGTTTTCTAGAACATGTACTTCCTAGCAAGTGTGTTTACTTTTCAAATGTGTTCATATCTGCAGAAAAGTACCATTCAATTCAGTGGGGCATATTTGATCATTCAAATATGTGATTATGGAACTATTGAAGCTAATTTTAATTTGAGCAGGAGCTATTATCATCAAAAAAGGAAAGAGTGTGATAACGATGATCTTCCATTTCTTTGGGTTCACTGGAGGTAAAAGTGTTGTATCAATCTTGCCCCTTAGATCCCAAGGTAATTAGCCGTTTTCATGTCTTTCTCATTGCAGTACACTGAAAGGTACTGGAGCTCCCCTGGTGGTGGGTTAAGCCCTTGTGCTGACAGGACTGCTGACTGACAAGTCAGTGGTTTGAATCCGGGGAGAACGGGTTGAGCTCCCTCTGTCAGCTCCAGCTTCCCATGCGGGGACATGAGAGAAGCCTCCCATCCTTGCAGATGGCCAATTCTCCCACACCAGAAGCAACTTGCAATTTCTCAAGTTGCTCCTGACATGCAAATAATAATAATAATAATGTGAAACAAACGGTCAAAGAAGAGGTGAAACAAATGGTAGAAGAAGAGAAACATGCACTGGCAGATTATGTGAAATGCATTCAAGAGCCAACATTGAGGGAAGTCAATAGTAGCAAACTGCTGAAAGTGCAAAAGACAAAGAGTGAATACCGTAAAGAGAAAATTGGCAAAAGAAGGGTCCCCATGGATAGTTCCTGGGGAAAATTAAGAACCAAATGGACAAAGAAAAAACATGGCTGTGGCTCACAAATGGAACTTTGAAAAAGGAGACAGAGGGCCTGATTCTGGCAGCCCAAGAACAAGCCATTAGGACCAATGCCATCAAGACCAGAATTGAAAAGTTGATGACAGATCCCAAGTGTAGACTCTGCAAGGAAGCAGATGAAATAATAGATCATATCCTCAGCTGCTGCAAGAAGATTGCACAGACAGACTACAAGCAGAGGCATAACACCATTGCTTAGATGATTCATTGGAACTTGTGCCACAAACTCCATGTGCCTGTGACAAAGAACTGGTGGGATCACAAGCCTGAAAAAGTTACAGAACATGAACACCTCAAACTACTCTGGGACTTCCGAATTCAGACAGACAGAGTTTTGGAGCACAATACTCCTGACCTCACGAACATGTTAAAAAACAAAGTATGGATTGTTGATGTTGCAATCCCAGGTGACAGCAGGATGGAAGACAAACTAATAGAAAAGCTGACATAATATGAGGATTTAAAGATTGAACTGCAAAGACTCTGGCACAAGCCAGTAAAGGTGGTCCCATTGGTTATCGGCACACTGGGTGCAGTGCCTAAAGACCTTGGCCTGCACTTAAATCACAATCTGTCAACTGCAAAAGGCCGCCTTACTTGCATTATTCAAAAATATATCACATAGTCCTAAACGCTTGGGAAGTATTCAACTTGTGATTTTATGATACGAAATCCAGCATATATATTTCATTTGCTGTGTCATACTGCGTTTTTATGTCAGTAAAATAATAATAATATAAAAAAACTGAAAGGTAACTTAGTGGGAGTTTAGTTTTACAAGGTCTTTAGTTTTCTCAGCCAGAATCCTGGTGCCCTCACCAAACCACAGCCCCAAGGATTTCATCACATTGAGCCAAGGCAATTAAAGTGATGTCAGACTGCATTCATTCTAGAGTGTAGATCAGGCATGGGCAAACTTGGGTCCTCCAGGTGCTTTGAACTTCAACTCTCACAATTCCTTAAGTGGCTGAGGGGGGAAAGGAAAGTGCCTGAGGCTGTTAGGAATTGTGGGAGTTGAAGTCCAAAACACCTGGAGGACCCAAGTTTGCCCATGCCTGCTGGAGATGCAATGTTAGTCTGCAACCCTAAACAGATTTCCTCAGGAGAAAGCCCTACTAAAGTCAGTGGCCTTACTGAACAACATTCAAAAGATTGCATTTTTCATTACAACTCAAAAATGGTGCATACTTCTTGTTGTGGCTTGACTTCATTAATAAAGTAAACAACTGCCTCTTTCAAAAATGCTACCAGGAATGCATTTGAAAATGGAGCAAAAGGGGGAGCAAAAACATTGTAAGATAAAACTGCTTAGGCAAAGGTTAACAAAAGCCTACTTAACTTTGAATGGTAATGAGAAACAACTCTTCACCTTTTGCTCCTTTCTGCCAACCTGTTGATTTGTCTATTGAGAAATGAACATATATGTAGCAAAAGCAGTGTCAACAATTAATTAATTTGAAAAGAAATGTTCATTTCCAACCACAATTGAACATGTCTCCTAATTGGTATTTACTTGACAGCTCTGATACCAAATTTCCATTTCTGTTTGCCTTATCTACATACAGAACTTGTAAGCTCATAGAGAGTGTGACAAAAGAGGACAAAATTTACCAGATTGCCTCCCCATTAATTCATGATTTCTCCATTCTTGTATCACAAAGAAAACCTTGTAGAACTGGGTAAGTAACTGTGCAGATTTAAAGCATTTAAACTTATTCTCCTCTTGCATACATAGGTTAAGTGATGTATTGTTTTCTGACAAGTACATTAAGGGCCTAAGGGCCTTAAAGGCACCAGAATATGTCTGATCCTGGAAGCTAAGCAGGGTCAGGTCTGGTTAGAACTTGGATGAGAGACTACCAATAAACAGAGAGAAAAAATGGGGTGTAAACAACAACAACCAAATGCTGTCAGCTGTATTTCAGAGGAAGGGACTGGTAAAAACACTTCTTGAGTATACCTTCAAATCAAAAATCTTTATTATGGTCAGAGATCAGCATACGGAGAGTTGGGTACAGTTTCATAAAAGCATTGTACATTAAAATATAAAAGGCTAGAAAATAGAGGTATGTTGATGGCGAACGCATAAAAATTATAGAAGGAAAGGGATGGAGAGGGAAGGAGATTGATTAAGGGGTAGGAGCATTCAGGACACATATCTAGGGACTGAGGGCGGGGGAACACTGATTTACATTTCAGTTAGCTGATAGATTGCTAACTTTTGAAACGAATCATCACCCAGCACATTTTAAATACTGCTGCACAAAACTTGGCAGCATTATACTGTAGATTATAACTGAGTCGGTATCTGAGAGCAGCAGGGTGATGTAAAAGTGTTGGCTTTAGCCTATAAGGCCCTGAATGGTTCCGGCTCAGCTTATCTATCCAAACGCATCTCCTCCTATGAACCTTCTAGACATTTAAGATCGTCTGGGGAGGCCCTGCTCTCGATCCCCACTCCCTCACAGGTGCATCTAGCGGGAATGAGAGAAAGGGCCTTCTCCGTGGTGGTCCCTCGACTGTGGAACTCCCTGCCCAGGAACATTAGATTGGCTCCCTCCCTCCTGACTTCTCTAAAAAGAGTGAAAACATGGCTGGAATATGAATACGGAACACCTAAAGACAATGTATACAGATGAGGAATTGGATTGGAAAACACTGTTTTTTATAGAGTTTATAGTTTTTATGGTTTTTATATGTATTGGGATGTGATTTAATTGTTTTAACCAACATATGTATGTTTTTATATACGACATCTAATTGTTGCCGATCTGTATGCCACCCTGAGTCTCCTTCAGGCTGAAATGGGTGGGATAAAAATGATGTAAATGAGTAAATAAATAAATTGTCCTGAATGGCCTGGGTAATTATATAGAAAGGCAAGATGCGTCTGGATCGAATGTCCCTGTAGAACAGGTACTGGAGGAGCACATGCTCAATTGTTACTATTTGGCCCGAGTCACAGGGGCAGAGTCTGTCTTCCAGTATCGGCCCTCAAGTATAGCTGATGGGAGGGTGTGACATCAAGCTACGGTGAAGGCCCTCCAATGATGGAGAACCTCTAGATTTGTTAAGTATGCCATAGGGGAGGTGAGATATCTGCTGGCTTCGTTGACAATAAAAGTTGGGGTGTAGGCTAAATCCAATTGGCACTCTGTGTCTGAGATACGTTGTTTGATTAGTGCTTTGGCTTGATTGTATTCCATACTGAGTAGCAACCCTGGAGAGAAGCCCAGTGATGTGATTTTTGTTGCTACTGCCTGTTTCTATGTGGACTGGAAGTCATCATTCATGGTTAGCAGGGCAAGACCAAGAAGAGTGTGGGATATTCTGAGCCAGTGGTTGAATATAATCACCCACACTCTGCCCTCCACTTTCATGAAACCTGTCTCCAGTTGTAGAATGACATTGGGGACACATTTTGGTAGTTGGAGGGCCAAACTCCAAAGTTTTGATTTTACAAGCTCTGGGGGGCAAAATTGGCTCCAGACAAGAGTTGTGTGCTCTGATTTAGGAAAACGGCTGAGATCCTGCCGTGGAGGTATAACTACAAAATCACAGCCAGGTTCCATGTCCCAGCTCTCCTGAGTCTACCTTGCCTAAGAAAACACCATGGAATTCACGGGGTTGCCTTAAGTCAACAGGTGACTTAAAGACACATACACAAACCTTAGCTTTAAGTGTTATCACTTTAATAAGTGGAGAAAATCGCATTTTGACAGCTTACAGTTTTGTTATAAGGCTTTAAATTTCACTTTTAATACATTCAGGGACCCTTATATAATAGCTGTGAAGCCAATTGCCTTGAAAGCTTTCCCACCTTCTAACGAGAACCCCAGAAGTGGCATCCAATGTGCAGGATTCCTGATCTATAGCAATGGGAACTCCTCTTTGGTAAGCAGCTTTATTTGTCATTTGATGTTTGCTTACTTGCTGTTTCCTCTTTCCAAAGATAAGTCTGATTTAGGAGAACAGCTAAGGTCCTGCAGTGGACGCATAGCTACAAGATCACAGCCACGTTCCATGTCCTGACCCAGCTGTCCTGAGTCTCCTGTTCTGAGTATACAGCTGGCAGGTGGGATGCTGCAGGATGACATGACCAGCCTCTTCCCGCCAGAGACCAACGGTGCAATGAGCAGAAGCAGGAACGTCTGTGGTGTTGTGTCAAGACTATTTGCAGTACTGTCACTCCCTGCCAGGAAGAGGCTGGCCATATCATTCTGCAGCACAGAATGATATGGCAAGCCTAGCACCACAGAACACAATGGTTCCATTATCACAAAACAATTACAAGATCATAAGTCTAATAGTATTTGAGTATGTGTAAATAGTTCTGTATGATTCTACTTCCCAAATTAGGTACTGTATAGCCCTTTAAACCACACTGAATCTCATAGATCAGAAAGAGTAAATCCTTTGTTGGGAGGTGTTAGCTGGCCCCGATTGCTTCATGCCCAGAATTCCCCTGTTTTCTGAGTGTCGTTCTTTATTTGCTGTGCTTATATTAGAGTTTTTTTTAATACTGGTAGTCACATTCCCTGGCAGGAAGCAGCCAGGCTTTGAAGCTGAAAAGTGCTAATCAAGGTGGCCAATTGCAAAATTCACACTTGCCTGAAACATTCCAGATATATAAACCTCATTTGCCTTCCAACCAACCTCTCAGCCTCTGAGGATGCCTGCTATAAATGTGGGTGAACTGTCAGGAGAAAATGCTTCTGAGAGGCCCTTCTCGTGCTCCTGCCTCCATCGCAAGTGCGATTTGTGGGGACGAGGGAGAGGGCCTTCTCTGTGGTGGCCCCTCAGCTCTGAAATTCCTCACCAGAGAAATTAGGCAAGCCCCCACCCTGGCAGTCTTTAGGAAGAGCTTGAAAACTTGGCTGTTCCAGTGTGCCTTCAAGGAATGATTAACTGAACTACAACCCGACCTGACCAAATCCTTCATAAAATGCCCTCCGAAGCACTTTATTTTCTACCTACTAGTGCATTAAACCCTACTTTCGTCCCTCTGTCCAGATGCATTACATTGCCTTCTCTCCCAGTGTTTTAAACTTTTAATTCTTGCTATTGGCCCTGCCCACTGTGATTTATTTTCTGTGTTTAAATTATTGTAATTTTACGTTGTTTGATGTGCTTATTTATATTGTTTCTTGTATTTTATTTTTATATTTTATTGTCGTTTATTTGCATTGCTGTATTGTTGGGCTTGGCCTCATGTAAGCTGGTCCGAGTCCCCTTGAGGAAACGGTGGCAGGGTATTATTATTATTATGGAACATGGCCATACAGTCTGGAAAACTCACAGTAACCCAGTGATTCTGGCCATGAAAGCCTTTGACAACACATAGAACTGGTATCTTCTATAACTTTAAAAGCCAGAAAGAAAAACAGCATGATTTGTGCAGCTTGGCCCCTAGAAGCAGACTTACAATGTCAAATATCTATTGTTTTTATATGTGCCTTGAGTGCAAGAATATTTAAATTTCCTTGCCACCAGAATCAATCGAGTTGCATGGTCATGCGAGTGTGTTCCTCAGATCCACAAAATCTGGCAAGCTGACAACTGAAAATTATAAACATAGTTGCACTCTGACCAGCCAGGATTGATTCACTAATGTGTAAGAAGTAGGCTTGGATGATCTCACTGCTTCTTTTCTTGAGAAATGACACAAATTTTCCTTTCTCTATTTTACAGGTATCTTGCTTCTTCCAAGGTACTCCTTGTTTTGCTGCAAATCTTGTTGGCCTGTTGAAATTAACTGAAGATACAGCTTCCCTATACATTCACTTTTTAGAATCGGAGAGCAAAAAGATGAACTGCCTTTAGCACCACTGTTGAGTCCTGCTTTTGAGTCATTGGCTTTGTTAATACTATTTGAGGTACTTGAAAATGACTAACAGTCATTCTAACTCTTCTAAATGGACAAGCACAGTAATGTTTACAATCTTGCAAACGATCTGCCATGTAGTTTATAATCAGGAATTTTATTATTAAACTGTCATAGCACAATGTGCCACATGATCCAAGTCTCCACTGAATACTTGATCTTTAAACACTTTAACATGTCATTAATTATTTTGGATTCCTCAGAATGTTTGTCAATACAATATATACTTTTAATGTAATGAAAGATTACTGCTTTTCTAAAGTGTATTGTATGTAAGTATACATTTTTGTAAAGAATTTAACCGTTCTGCTGTTCATTTCAGTGGGTTAAACTGCTGAGCTGCTGAACTTGCTGACCGAAAGGTCGGCAGTTCGAATCCAGGGAGCAGAGTGAGCTCCCACTGTTAGCCCCAGCTTCAGCCAATCTAGCAGTTCAAAAACATGCAAATGTGAGTGGATCAATAGCGACAGCTTCGGCAGGAAGATAATGGTGCTCCATGCAGTCATGTTGGCCACATCACCTTGGAGGCATCTATGGACAATGCCAGCTCTTTGGCTTAGAAATGTAGATGAGCACCACCCCCCAGAGCCTGACACGACTAGACTTAATGTCAAGGGGAAACCTTTACCTTTACCTTAAGAACCAAATATGGCTAGGTATCAAAACATGTATTTTACGATTTTGGAATTGCATTGCTTGGCATCCTCTATTGGTACAGATTTCAACTCCCACCCCCAAGCAAAACAATTTAAGTGATTAGTTTTCAGTGTTTTGCATACCTATGGTTTGCAGAGCTATACGGAATTATGTAGAATGCACTTACAGACAAATCCTATCTTGTTCTTCAATGTGAGAACCTCAGTGAAATCCAAATATTTGGTGACAGGGACACCAACAGAATGAAATAGAGGGAGGAACAATAATTTCCTGCTTGCAAAATCTGTGCATTTGCCATAGGTCAGGAACTCTCTTGAAATCACGTTTGTGGGCTGGGCAGGCTGAGGCCAGGGTCTGCTATTCCAGATTTCCTCTATTCCAGTGAAGATATTTATTTACTACATTTGTATACCGCCCCTCTCAGCCTTCCGGCGACCTGAGGCGGTTTACAAGGCAAAATTCAATGCCATAGAAACACAAGTACAATATAAAAACGTTAACATCAATAAAATCATAACAATAAAACATAAATCAATAAATTCTCATTAAAAACATTGTGCAGTCTCATTGTGTAGTTATTCCGATTCCTATGCCAGTTGCTCAATATTTGCAAATGCTTGCTCAAATAGCCATGTCTTGAGTTTTTTCCAAAATGTTAGGAGCGAAGAAGCTGATCTGATCTCCCTTGGGAGGGTGTTCCATAGCCAAGGAGCCACCACTGAGAAGGCTGTCTCTCGTCCCCGCCAGACATACTTGTGACGAAGGTGGGACCGAGAGCAGGGCCTCCCCAGACGATCTTAAAGTTCTCAATGGTTCATAAGGGGAGATGTGTTCGGACAGGTAAATTGGGCCAGAACCGTTTAGGGCTTTATAGGCCAAAGCCAGCACTTTGAATTGTGCCAAGTAGCAAACCGGCAGCCATTGGGGCCGGCGCAAAAGGGGGGTTGTATGCTCCCTGAGAGCTGCTCCTGTTAGTAACCTGGCTGCCGACTGTTGGACCAGCTGAAGCTTCTGGATAGTCTTCAAAGGCAACACCACATAGAGTGCGTTGCAGTAGTCTATACGGGATGTAACCAGAGCGTGGACTACCATGGCCAAGTTAGACTTCCCAAGGATATTTGATGTTTTACCATCCTTGTGGTAGGTTTTTTTCATGTCCCCACATGGGGAGCTGGAGCTGACAGGGAGCTCAACCTGCTCTTCCCAGATTCAAAACATGGCACCAGGTTTTTACCCATTGCACCACCAAGGGCTCCGGTGAGAGTTCACATTATCCACTGAGATAATGCAAAAAAGTAAAAAGGAAGCAACACAATAGGAAATGCAAATGTTGAGAGATGTACTTCAGCTCCTAGTCAGGGATTCTAAATGCTCATGTACTGCCACTGAGCACATTTTTACTTCCATCCCTTTCTTCAAATAATTGCATAGAAGCTAAAATATTACAGAAGCTCAATGTATATCCTAGAACAGAACAATCCAAAATAAAATTAAAAATAATAGTTGTTTTACTCTGCACTTAATATTGTAATCATAATGAACTACAACCACTGAAAGTGGTTAGAAAGGTTGGAAAAGGTAGGAATAGAAGCTCTGCTATGTTACAATAAATTTAAGATCTTCAAGGGTCTTATGCTTTATATCTCAGGAAACAAAATCCATGTTATGGTTGGTTTACAATTGTATTAGTTCAATTTCCAGGAAAATCAGTACAGAGTTATTTAAATCTAATGAAGTTCAATTTGATATCAGCAGAAACCAGTTCATGTCCCCCTTGAGGGTGAATGTTTCTATTCTTTGGCATATGTCTTGTATTTTTTGGCATGGCCCACCAAATTCTCTTGGAAGTTCCCTTTAGATTAGGATTTCACCCTCATCATCTCAGTCAAGTGAATACTTCAGATATGGCATTTCCGGGCACTGCTGGTTTTTAGGACATCTTTTACTGTGAAAATCATCACAATGGATGTTGCTAGAAACAAGGTGTCAGAAGTTAACAACTTTAGATTGTTTCTGTTTAGGTTTTTGCTGTTTGGGGCTCTCTAAGGTTTCTTGATAATCTGCACTCATTCCTTTGATCCACCGTCCAACAGTTACCACACAATCTGTGAAACAAAAGAGAAATACATTGAAAAATGAACTCCATATTATATTGAAGATACATGGCATGGATGCTGAGAAACTATCCTATGAAATCCAGCAATTCAACCTAGTGTCAGTATTTATCACCTTTTTTATCCCTCTTCGTTTTTATTCCTGCTGGAACCACATCAAATGAGTTTAGCTTTTATAAAAGTGTGCTGATTTAAAACTGCTCTTAATATATTACATATCAAACCATCAGTCACCATTTACCAAGCAAAATATGTTTGATAAGAAAATTGTAATATTATCTACTGCTCCATATTCCTCTTTACATAAAATCTCCTGTAATATAATAGAACTTACACTTAAGCCTTGACTGTTTGAGGGTCATAGACTTAACTTTACATATCCAATTAAAGGTCTATTGTGATGTAAAAACACATCATCATTAGATGAAAAAATATCAAGGATTGTTGAATTCTGTTTATAACTCAGATGTAGCAGCCAAAGTTGATTAAATATGTACTGTAACACATGTTTTTGTTCCTTGGTTATAAATGTCATTTCCTAATTGGGTCTATCATAAAAACATGGGGAAAAGTTACTAAACTGCAAAAACTTTGTTTTTGCAGGACATCCTGTAGCACATTTTGCTATAGTTTTTCAATTAATATCTCACAGAGTCTCAACCAATTCAACATAGTTTGTGGCAGCAACAAAAATGAAGTTTCAGGTGTATAACAGCTGCTTTCAAAGTAAGTATCACACAATTAAACAGGAAATAAAACTTTCAAACCAGAGACATTTTTTTCAAATTTTGTTACATAGTGTTACGGAACATTTCAAGTGCTCTTTGAAAAACATTGGATTCCCACCTGAGCTTTGATTCTCTGGGCAGTCTTTTTTGAAGTGCTCCACAGATCCACAGATCCTACAAGACCCTCCTATAGAAGAACAAAAAGTAAATAATATCAATTATTATACGATACACATAATTTCATGCTATAATAAACAATGCATCAGTGAAAGAAAGTAAAAAGTGTTTTCACTTTTTTTGTTCTTTCCTACCTTCAAATCAATATTTCAAGGCTGAAACAAAGAATACATAAAACCCTTCACTTTTTTTTGCTGATAAACTGAACAGATTTATTGTAGTGTAAGTTTCATGGAGTAGAGTCCTCCTTATTTGATACACGGCAAGGAAAAAATGAATCTAAATGTCAATGAAATGAAAAATCTCCTTCACATAAGAATTCATCGTCTCCTTGTGAATGGGAGGTTCCAAACTATGTTAAGTCTACAGCAAGCATGGGAAAACTTGGACCTTCCCTCCAAGTGTTTTGGATTTCAACTTCCACAATTCCTAACAGCCTCAGGCCCTTTCCTTTCCCCCTTCAGCCACTTAGGAATTGTGGGAGTTGGAAGTCCAAAACACCTGGAGTGAAGACCCACGTTTGCCCATGTCTGATGTAGTGGGACCATCAGTGTCATACAGGGGAGGGAGGCAATAAAAAGCCATTTTGTATGTACAACTCAGGTATGTAAAATATTTGGTGAATCAAGATGAATATGGTCAATATGCAGAAAGAATAAATGAACACTGCAGTCCTGTATTCCTGAAAGCTGACATTTTGTTATTTGTCCCCATAAATATTCTGAAAAGAAATTATGAAGAGAATTGATTTTATAATAAGATAAAGTAGTGATAGGAGTGGGGAAAGTGCTGGAAAGAGACAAAAGCTTTCAAAAGGGCAAGAAGTGTCCTATGTGCTCTCTCCCTTTCAATCCAAGTTATTCCCAAAAAAAAGCAAAGTGAATCCATTAATTGTGTTTGTTTTGAAAAATTATGGGATCTGAAATGAGTTATTCTTACCTTGTGCATAGAGTCCTTTAGGATTATCAGGACATGACCGGGAGAGATGTCCCATCTCACCACAAATAAAGCATTTTGCATATGGAAATTCTCCTGAAAATATTTAACAGTGTATTAGGATAGAAATAATGATCCTGAAGTCACAGTAAGCACTAAATTGAACAAAGTGTACTGTTATCTGGGATACTTTTATCCCTGAAGCATTTTAAGAAACAAAAACTTCTAGCAAGCACTTTATACAGAGTGTTTAAATTATACATACCAAGAGCTGGGTCTATTTTTGCTCTGCATTTGCTGATTTCATGTTCTGTAGAGCCACAGCGGAAACAAATTCCAGTTCCCATATCCTGGCTTTCAAGTACAGCCGGGCAATCTGCAACTCCATGTCCCGGCTGTCTGCAATGGAAGCACACCTTTGAAAATACAAAATGAAATGTGAAGTAAGCAAGAGAAATCAGACTCACTGGTCTCTTTTTCCAACAGTTTTCAAAAAATATTTTTCCCTCCACCACTGGATTATTATTATTGCCAGCATGCTCCTAAACCAAGCATCTCTTTTGCTACAGCCATTAAACACCTTCATTGCCAAGCCCCATACAGATGTACCCTAAATAGAGTATTATGTACACCAGCCTTCCCCACTATAGTACCTGAGAGTAGGTTGTACTTGAGCTCTTGATATCACCAGACACCACTAGACAAGTTGATAAGGATGCCAGTATTTGTGGCCTCGTATCTGGGTGCCAATGTAAATGAGTTAAGAATGGGTTTTAAAATAAAACGAAATACAGTTTCCATTAAGAAAAACCTTTAAAGTCAAATATTTTTATCTGCATGTAGATGAAGTGCTCTGTTTGTTCTGTAAAGAAGAAAAATGCACAGTGAAAGATGACAAAACAGCATCTTACCATTGCATTCTTCTTTACTTCTTGTCTTTTTATTCTCCTCCCTTCTCGACGCTGGTCTTTTTTCAAAGCTGTTGCTATCTCTTCCCTTACTTCATGGCTGTTGATCACCTGTCCATTATGTAATGCTTGTGAGTTCTGTTTCAAATATTCCATAAAGCCATTGACATCTTCATTCAAATAGTCTTTTTTCTTCTTATTTTTCTTCTTCTCCTGGGTACCCTTTACAGAAAGCTTGTTACCAAAAGTCTTTCTGTCATCCTTTTTTGCATTTCCAGCATCATTTTTCATATCTTCCCATGGTGTCGCATCCAGAGCCTTCTTACTGTGGGTGACATTTGATCGAGCCCACCGGGTCATGACTTCATGAAGTATTTCCTATAAGTCTTTAGTAGAGAGAAAGGTTATTACTGTGTTGTCGAAAGATTTCATGGCCGGAATCACTGGGTTGCTGTGAGCTTTCCGGGCTGTATGACCATGATCCACACAGAGAAAAAAATGTTCTTACCATACATCAAGGGAACCACTGACTGCATAGGGAAGCTAATGAAAAAACACAACCTACAAACGATCTATAGACTCACTAAGAAAATCCAACAAATGCTACATTCAGCAAAGGACAAGAAGGATCCTCTCACCTCTGCAGGAGTCTACTGTATACCATACTGCTGTGGACAAGTCTACATAGGGACCACCAAACACAGCATTGCCCAAACACAAATCAAGGAACATGAAAGGCACTGCAGACTACTTCAACAAGAGAAGTCAGCCCTAGCAGGCCACTTGATGAACCAACCTGGACGTAGCATATTATTGGAGAACACAGAAATGCTGTACTATTCTAACAATCACCATGTTAGACTACATCGAAATCCACAAGCATGTGGACAATTTCAACAGAAGCCATCGAAATCCACAAGCATGTGGATTATTTCAACAGAAAGGAGGAAAATCTGGCTACCAATATTAAAAAAAACCTCTATAATCAGGGCAGTAAGTAAACACTCAAACAACAGGGGAATTCCTGACATGAAACAATAAGGGCCAGCTAAAACCTCCCAACAAAGGATTCTCCAGGCAGGAATCAGCCAGTCTTTGAAGCTGCAAGACCATTCAATGCTAATCAAGGTGGCCAATTGCAATATTCACACTTGCCTCCAACAGACAAGAGTTCTTTCTCCCACCCTGGACTTTAGTTCACAGATATATAACTTCATCTGCCTTGTTTCCAGCAGACCTCACAACCTCTGAGGATGGCTGCCATAGATGTGGGCAAAATGTCAGCCAAGAATGCTTCTGGAACACGGCCACACAGCTCAGAAAACTCACGACAACCCAACATTATTACTATTTACAAATTCAACATGCAAAAATATGGCGGGTAAATAAAAACACAAGACACACAAGACTTTTCAGACCATTTTGTGCCATCAACCTATGCTTCAATGTGATCGCAATATTCAACCTATTTCTACACCAAAAATTGAGATTTTTCTTAACCATTGTTGATGTATTTCTGAAAAGTGCTCAGGACATTAGGAAAAAAATATATTGGGAAATAACAATTGCTCCCTTATAGCTTACTTTTTCAGGTTAATCAGCAAATGTTTTAGATCAGGCCTGGGAAAACTTCGGCCCTCCAGGTGTTTTGGACTTCAACTACAGGTGTTTTGGAGTTGTAGTCCAAAACACTTGGAGGGCCGAAGTTTGCCCATGTCTGGGTTATACTCTCTGGTGGAGAGTCTTTGCATTCTGTAGCTGTTGGGAATTGTGGTCCAAAACACCTGGAGGGCCAAAGTTTGCCCATGCCTGGGTTATACTCTCTGGTGGAGAGTCTTTGCAATATGTAGCTGTTAGGAATTGTGGGAGATGTGGTCCAAAACACTTAGAGAGCCCAAGTCTGCCCATGTCAGGGTTATACTCTCTGGTGGAGAGTCTTTGCAATCTGCAGCTGTTATTATTATTATTATTATTATTATTATTATTATTATTATTATTATCTTTATTTGTACCCCGCTAGCATCTCTCGAAGGACTCGATACGGCTTACAAAGGCCAAGGCCACAAAACACAACATAACAATACACAACCTAAAGCAAATTAAAAACAGTTAAAGCAATATTAAACAACAAGCAATAAAACAATACACCAGGACACAATAAAACTGGGCCAGGCCAGAGTAATGGATACAGATTAAAAGTGCTGACGTGACAGGTGGTATGTAAGGATTATGGGGTTAAGTGCAGTGTGCCAACAATCTTAATTTCTAATAAAGTGCTTCTGGGACTTGTTGGAGGATTCCTATTCTGGAAAGGCACATCGGAACAGCTGTTAGGAATTGTGGGAGTTGTGGTCCAAAACACCTAGAGGGCCTAAGTCTGCCCATGTCAGGGTTATACTCTCTGGTGGAGTCTTTGCAATCTGTAGCTGTTAGGAATTGTGGGAGTTGAGTTCCAAAACATCTGGAGGGCCCAAGTCTGCCCAAACCTGGGTTATACTCTCTGGTGGAGAGTCTATGCAACCTGTAGCTGTTAGGAATTGTGGGAGTTGTGGTCCAAAACACCTGGAGGGCCAAAGTCTGCCCAAACCTGGGTTATACTCTCTGGTGGAGAGTCTTTGCAAACTGTAGCTGTTAGGAATTGTGGGAGTTGTGGTCCAAAACATCTGGAGGGCCAAAGTCTGGGTTATACTATCTGGTGGAGAGTCTTTGCAATCTGTAGGTGTTAGGAATTGTGGGAGTTGTGGTCCAAAACACCTGGAGGGCCAAAGTCTGCCCAAACCTGGGTTATACTCTCTGGTGGAGAGTCTTTGCAATCTGTAGCTGTTAGGAATTGTGGGAGATGTGGTCCAAAACACCTGGAGGGCCCAAGTCTGCCCATGCCTGGGTTATACTCTCTGGTGGAGAGTATTTGCGATCTGTAGCTGGTAGGAATTGTGGGAGTTGCAGTCCAAAACACCTGGAGGGCCCAATTTTGCCCATGCCTGGGTTATGGTCTCTGGTGGGGAGTCTTTGCAATCTGTAGCTGTTAGGAATTGTGGGAGTTGTGGTCCAAAACACCTGGAGGGCCCAATTTCCCCATGCCTGGGTTATACTCTCTGGTGGGGAGTCCTTGCTATCTGTAGCAATGAGGAATTATGAGAGTTGTGGTCCAAAACATCTGTAGGGCCCAAGTTTGCCCATGCTTGGGTTATACTCTCTGTGGAGAGTCTTTGCAATCCTGTAGCTGTTAGGAATTGTGGGAGTTGAGTTCCAAAACACCTGGAGGGCCCAAGTCTGGGTTATACTATCTGGTGGAGAGTCTTTGCAATCTGTAGCTGTTAGGAATTGTGGGAGTTCCAGTCCAAAACATCTGGAGGGCCCAATTTTGCCCATGCCTGGGTTATAGTCTCTGGTGGGGAGTCTTTGCAATCTGTAGCTGTTAGGAATTGTGGGAGTTGTGGTCCAAAACACCTGGAGGGCCCAATTTTGCCCATGCCTGAATTATACTCTCTGGTGGGGAGTCCTTGCAATCTGTAGCAATGGTGAATTATGAGAGTTGTGGTCCAAAACATCTGTAGGGCCCAAGTTTGCCCATGCTTGGGTTATACTCTCTGTGGAGAGTCTTTGCAATCTGTAGCTGTTAGGAATTGTGGGAGTTGAGTTCCAAAACACCTGGAGGGCCCAAGTCTGGGTTATACTATCTGGTGGAGAGTCTTTGCAATCTGTAGCTGTTAGGAATTGTGGGAGTTGCAGTCCAAAACACCTGGAGGGCCCAAGTTTATCCATGGAGTCCTCATGGACAACAAGTTAAACATGAGCCAACAATGTGATGTGGCAGCAAAAAAAGCCAATGGGATTTTGGCCTGCATCAATAGGAGCATAGTGTCTAGATCTAGGGAAATTATGCTACCCCTCTATTCCACTTTGGTTAGACCACACCTGGAATATTGTGTCCAATTCTGGGCACCACAATTCAAGAGAGATATTGACAAGCTGGAATGTGTCCAGAGGAGGGCGACTAAAATGATCAAGGGTCTGGAGAACAAGCCTATGAGGAGCGGCTTAAGGAGCTGGGCATGTTTATCCTGAAGAAGAGAAGGCTGAGAGGAGATATGATAGCCATGTATAAATATGTGAGAGGAAGCCACAGTGAGGAGGGAGCAAGCTTGTTTTCTGCTTCCCTTGGAGACTAGGACGCGGAACAATGGCTTCAAACTACAAGAGAGGAGATTCCATCTGAACATGAGGAAGAACTTCCTGACTGTGAGAGCCGTTCAGCAGTGGAACTCTCTGCCCCGGAGTGTGGTGGAGGCTCCTTCTTTGGAAGCTTTTAAACAGAGGCTGGATGGCCATCTGTCAGGGGATTTGAATGCAATATTCCTGCTTCTTGGCAGAATGGGGTTGGACTGGATGGCCCATGAGGCCTCTTCCAACTCTTTGATTCTATGATACTCTAGGGGAAGATGAGGCAGAAAGAAAAGGGGAAGCCTTGTAACATCGACCTAAATGCTCCCAATCCATGGTGTTACTTCTTTCTCTGTGTGACTGTCATCTCCCCTCACCTCCGGGCCACTGAACGCCTGACTCCCCAATTACCCCTTCCGTACTTACCACTCAAACCAAAATCCTTCCTGGTTGCTGGCTCTTCCTAGAACCCAAGCGCGTGGGGGAAAAAGCTACTTCCGTTTCCGCTCTCTGAGTACAGATCCCACAGCGCCGGCTGGCGGACGTTCTAGCAACAGTGGAGAGAGAGAGAGGAGGAGGAGGCTTTGAGTCAAAGCATGGGCAAACTTCGGCGCGCCCTCCAGGGGTTTTGAACTTCAACACCCACAATTCCTAACAGCCGGTAGGCTAGGTTCTTGTGGGTTTTTTCGGGCTATAGAGCCATGTTCTAGAGGCATTTCTCCTGACGTTTCGCCTGCATCTAGGAGTCTACCGTATACCATGCAGCTGTGAACAAGTCTACATAGGGACCACCAAACGCAGCGCCCAGACACGCATCAAGGAACATGAAAGGCACTGCAGACTACTTCAACCAGAGAAGTCAGCCATAGCAGAGCACCTGATGAACCAGCCTGGACACAGCATATTATTTGAGAACACAGAAATGCTGGAGCACACCAACAACCACCATGTCAGACTACACAGAGAAGCCATTGAAATCCACAAGCATGTGGACAATTTCAACAGAAAGGAAGAGACCATGAAAATGAACAAATCTGGCTACCAGTATTAAAAAACTCTAAAATTACAACAGCAAAACAACAGAGAGGAAAACCAGGCACAGATTAACACCTCCCAGCAACAGATTTTCCCAGGCTCAAGCAGGCCTTCAAATGCTAATGAAGGTGATCAGCTAAACATTCCCACCTAACTGCAGCAGGGAAGAGCTCCTTGCCCCACCCCCGCCATTCCACAGATATATAAACCCATTTCCTATTTCCAACAGACCTCACAACCTCTGAGGATGCTTGCCATAGATGCAGGCGAAACGTCAGGAGAAATGCCTCTAGAACATGGCTCTATAGCCCGAAAAAACCCACAAGAGCCGGTAGGCTGTTAGGAATTGTGGGAGTTGAAGTCCAAAACCCCTGGAGGGCCCAAGTTCCTTCTTTCCCTATTTTGTGTAGTACAAAACTTTGCCAGGAGATGGAAGCATGCACAAAGAACCAGATTGTGTTCGCCTCTCTGCCAGAAAGAATTGGCCTTGAATTAGAAATTATCCAAATGTAATTTACTAAAGGGGAAGAAATAATAGTAGAGTTCATCTTATGTGTAGCATGAAACTCAGTGCAAAATCCAAAATGAATACAGTAGATCTGAATGGAACTGTACTGTCTACAGACAGCAGCCAAGCTTTTGTATTCGGTCTTCAGGTCTTCATACAGCTTAATGGTGTAACATTAGAAAATGTCGAACATTTCCGCTACCTTGGCAGCCACCTCTCCACAAAAGTCAACACTGACATTGAAATACAACACTGCCTGAGCTCTGCAAGTGCAGCATTCTTCCTAGTGTTTGAGGACCAGGACATCTGTCGGGAGACCAAGGTGCTTGTTTATAAAGCTATTGTCCTCTCAAACCTGTTATACACCTGCGAAACATGGTCTACAGATGTCACACTCAAATCCCGGAATGATTCCATTAGTATTGCCTCTGAAAAATTCTGCAAATCTCTTGAGAAGACAGGCGGACAATGTCAGTGTTCTGGAAGAAGCAAAGACCACCAGCATTGAAGCGATAGTCCTACGCCATCAACTCTACTGGTCTGGTCACGTTGTCTGAATGCCCGATTACCATCTCCCAAAGCAGTTGCTATACTCCCAACTCAAGAACGGGAAACATAATGTTGGTGGGCAAGATAAAGGGATTTAAAGATGGGCCAACCTTAAAAACCGTGGTATAGACACCAAGAACTGGGAAGCCCTGCCCCTTGAGCATTCTAACTGGAGGTCAGCTGTGACCAACAGTGCTGCAGAATTCGAAGGCACGAATGGAGGGCAAGAGGGAGAAACGTGCCAAGAGGAAGGCACGTCAAGCCAACCCTGACCAGGACCACCTTCCACCTGGAAACCAATGTCCTCACTGTGGGAGAACATGCAGATTAAGATTAGGGCTCCACAGCCACCTATGGACCCACCGCCAAAACACTACACTTGGAGGACCATCATCCTCAGGCTACGAGTGATCGCCTAAGTAAGTAAGTAAGTAAAGTATTACTCATTACTGAGCCATTGTGGTGTAGTGGCTTGTGTGAATGCTGAACTAGGGCCCCTTCTATGCTACTGTATAAAATCCAGATTATCTGCTTTGAACTGGATTACATTATCAGTGTAGACTCATATAATGCAATATACTTGTGCAGTGAGAAAGGGGGCATTTGTACAATGCAATACAATACAATACAATACAAGCTGCAAGCAAACTGCAACCGAGAAGCAGGCCAACTTGGTAATCAAATATTTCAGGATGCCACTCCTTCCCTTCAAACTTTAAAGTCATTTAGCTTCCATTTCTGTCCACTGTCAGAACAATGGATATCACACTATCTTCCAACTTGTTTCCCCAGCAGCTGCTACTCTGTGGCATTTTGCCTCTAAAATGGATTTACCCCATTACTAGTTATGACTGATGTCCCTTCCACACAGTTGAATAAAATCCCACATTATCTGCTTTGAACTGGAATATATGGCAGTGTGGACTCATTTAACCCAGTTCAAAGTAGATACTGTGGGTTATTTTGCGAATATTCTGGGCTTTATGGCTGTGTGGAAGGGCCCTATGATTCGAGAGCAAGCTGAAATCCCCGCTCAGCCATAGGAACCTTAGGCAAGGCGTATTCTCTCAGCCTCGGAGGAAGGAAAAGGCAAATCCCTTCTGAACAAATCTTGCCAAGCAAAATCCTACCATAGGATAGCCTTAGGATTGCCACAAGTCAGGAATGACTTGGCAGGCACATAAGAGAAAGTGAAATTGGGTGCAGGAGAGTGAATTATAATGCTACAAATGCTATGAAAGAGGGCAAAGGTTATATTTATTTACAGTATTTATATTCCGCCCGTGTCATCCCACAGGGGACTCAGGGCGGATTACAATGTACATATACATGGCAAACATTCAATGCCATAGACACACTACATATATAGACAGACACACAGAGGCTATTTAACATTCCAGCTTCATAAGAGTATTCTGGCCACCAGGGGAGCTGTCACTTCACCATCCATTTGTGACACTGATGGAGTACTTCCTCATTCTTTTGCATGCTTGCTGGAGATTTTATGGCATTGTAAATTAGTTAAATTAGCCTCTCTGCATAAGCAGTACCTAAATTGTATTGTCGAAGGCTTTCATGGCTGGAATCACTCAGTTCTTGTGGGTTTTTTCGGGCTATATGGCCATGTTCTAGAGGCATTTCTCCTGACGTTTCGCCTGCATCTATGGCAAGCATCCTCAGAGGTGAGGTCTGCTGGAGCTGGGAAAAAAGGGGTTTATATATCTGTGGAATGACCAGGGTGAGACAAAGGGCTTTTGTAAGTTGGGCTAGGTGTGAATCTTTCAACTGACCACCTTGATTAGCATACAATGGGCTGACTGTGCCTGGAGTACCTAAATTTCCTACTTGACAGATGCAACTGTCTTTCGGGCTGCTAAGGTCAACAGCAAGCTACACAATGGTTGGAAGCTCACTCTGACCCAGGCTGGCTTCGAACTCACGACCTTTCGGTCAGTAGTGATCTTAATGCAGCTGACTCCCGGCTGTTAGGAATTGTCGGAGTTGAAGTCCAAAACACCTGGAGGCCCCAAGTTTGCTCATGCCTGGGTTATACTCTCTGGTGGAGAGTCTTAGCAATCTGTAGCAACAAATCAACCTTGGAAACTGTCTTGCTCTAGTAGCTGAGATATTTCCTTTCCTCATTCCCATAGATGAGCCCCCCATAACTGGAGAACTTGTACCCTTCTTTCCTACCTGGAGGTGGCCCACAGAACAAGATTCACACCAGACTCTCAGATCTGGGGATCCTAATTTTGTAGGATTTTGCAGTGTTTCCACTATTTTTGGGAATCATAGTCACCACGATCCTTTTATCTCTAGCAAACCTTCTGTGCTATTTGTTTCCTGCTGTCTGTTTTCACCAGCTTTCTTTCCCTGCAAAACACTTGAGCTGTCACCCTTGTGGCACTCCACGTCATGATTCACAGCGAGAGCCAAGAAAACAGGATGTACTTGGCTAGGATATGAACGCTGTTAGCTTCACTGAAGACCAGCCGAAGGGTCTGTGGCACCAATGGGGGATACAAAAACAACAAAACTTCATGTTGCCAGGAAATGCCAAGTGACAGGTATAGAGATCTGAATTCATTCATTGCTATCTAGTTTCCTTATTATCAAGTCTGGGAAAGGCTCTGCTTGCACACCATGGAATGCAGAGTAAATTTGGGAAGGGCGTGGTGTGTCAAAAATTAAAGAATATGAAAGTGATCGTAGAAACATAGAATAGAGTTGGAAGAGGCCACATGGGTCATCTAGTCCAACCCCTTCCCATGCAAAAAAAAAAGCACAAAGTTCCCCTGACAGATGATCATCCAGCCTGTTTAAAAGCTTCCAAGGAATGAGCTTCACACTCTGAGGCAGAGAGTTCCACTGCTAAACAGCTTACAGTCAGGAAGTTCTTCCTAATGTCCAGGTGGAATCTCTCTTCCTGTAATTTCAAACCATTGTTCTGAGTCCTAGTTTCAAGGACAGCAGAAAACAAGCCTGTTCCCTTTTCCTTGTGACTTCCTTTCACATATCTATGCATCATGTCACCCCTCAGCCTTCTCTTCTGTAGGCTGTACATCCCCAGCTCTTTAATCCGCTCCTCATAGGAGCCGGTCTCCAGACCTTTGATCATTGTGGTTGCCCTTCTCTGGATACCTTCCAGCTTGTCAATGCCTCTTTTAAACTGTGGTGCCCAGAATTGGGCACAGTATTCCAGGTGAGCTCTAACCAAAGCAGAATAGAGAGGCACCATGGCTTCCCCCAAACTAGATAACTAGATTAATATTGAGTGTTTGCTTTGTGTTGTACAGGTACCATGCTTCTGCTCTTATTCTTGTATAAATATAAACCACAACTTATGTAAAAGCTTTGGTTCCAGTACTTATCATTTGTTACCTCAGCTAATCATGGTGAGACAAGCACTGGGTAGGTGTCCATCGCAATAATCCGTCTCCACTGCCCACAGTTGTACTTTCCAAACCACTTCACTCTTCCTACCCTACCACTCTGATACAGCCTTGAGTGGTGATTTATTGAACAAGGTTGCCTAAGCCAAATCACAATATTTTTGACTGTGTCAAAGACTAAATTGGTTTTTGTCATGACTGAGCAGGTGAGTTGTATAACATGGAGAGACAATTGATAGCATGTCATAGTATAACGTGTTAGGAAAAGCGCCAGTAGCATACATATTGCCATGGAGTGTGTGCTTGGATAGCATGGCCAGCAAAATGGGAATAGGGGACTATGAATGTATGGATGGAGTGGTGTGTTTTACGGGCAGGGTGACATAATCACAGCACTCCCATTGTTGCTCATGTTGATTGGTATCTCTCCCAATGAGTATTGGAGGTATAATTGGCATTCAGTGTTGTGATTGGTGGGTGTTGCCCAGGGATACTGTGGAACACATGCTTGATGTTGCTACCTTACTGCATCTCTGGCTTTTCTTTCTGCTTTGCTGTTAAAATCACACAGACACCATGGTGGTTGCTTATTAAACTGGATCCTGATCCCAAATGGGCCCCTTAACTCAGTGTTGGAGTCCAAAAAAATTGGTAATAGTAAAAGGTTTCAGAACCCTATCTAGTAGCTGTTGTAGGCATGTACATGAATCTGTTGTGCAGTGTTTACAGTGGACTTTGTCAAGGATGTTTCAGTTGTATTTTTTTAATGATAATAATATTTAATTTAAAAACTCAGTCTGTTTTGTAAGTCTTGCAAATACTGATTTGTTATTGAAAGGGTCTTTGAGCAAAATTTGCAAATGGTAAGGGGCTTTAAAATGAAAAACCAGCAAAATCAGCAAATTTGCAATAAGCTGAAGCTTTGAAATATAACAGAGTGCAGACAGGAAGTAGTTGAGGTTTCCTATATTTCCCTTTGTTAAAATTGTTGTTTTCGAAACAGAGGCCAAGTGTACAGAAGGTACTTTTCCATCAAAAAGGTCAGAATTAATATTCATAAAAGGTGTTTTCCCTGAACTCTCTGTTTGGTAAGATACAAATGCTATATAAAGTTACAGATTTTAAGGGACGGCACGGCAGCAACTTGTAGGATAGCATCTGCGTAATGCTATCATGCTGTTCGTCTCTCTTCATGAAGAGACTAAAATAAAAACCTTGTTTTTTTATCTTTAAATGGGACTGTCTCTTTCCTTCCGCGCTCCCACGACTGGACCTAAAAAGACCCAAATTTAGGGTCTCTAACATTATCAGTAAATGTTTGATTTTTATATTTATTTTATATATCCAATACCCAAGATCACAAAAACATTTCTCGGGTCACAAGGTGGCACAAGAGAAAAAGTTAAAGATACTACACTTGATCTTAGCCAAAAGGCCGAGAAGCTCTGGCCCAACATACCAACTTTATAATCCCTGTAGGATTGACATGTTTGAACATTAAACCCTGTTCTTTCAAAACAAGTTATTGAGAAATTCTACACATGAAGTATAAGATAGTAATTTACTAAATATTGTGCTAGGATCTTTTTTCATTAATAAGTTATTTATTTCATAGGAATATACAGAGTAAAAAGTCTGTCATAGCAGACACGTTCCAAGTTAGTTAATAATCACTGCTTCACTTCTTTCCAAATTGGGGCAATGGTGGAGGTATCTTGATATCTTGACCTTTCTCCAGCTTCTTCTCGCAGTCAACCATATAATTCACACCATCAATGACTAACTGAACAAGTTCCACCTTTAAAAAACAAAAAGAAGAGATTACGTGATAAAGCTGAGGATGGTCTGAATACCTAAACTGATCAATATATCCCCCCCCCCTTCTTCCAGTTATGAGACCCACTGTGACTAACAGTATATTTTAATAGAATGTTTTTAGTTGCTGACAGAATAAGAGCAAAGAGACAGCCATTCTGGTCACATAACAGCTTTTGAAGAAGAAAGTTTTGAAGATTGAGCCAGAAAGAGGCTGTGAAGTGTTAGCAATGTGAATTGGTTTTTAATTGATTTTAATAGTTTTAACTACTTATAATTGTTTCAATATTTAATTCTATTTTAATGTTTGTATGTTTTCTAGAGTTTAAACTATATATTGAAGTCTTTTTACTATTAGCTGTTTTGGGTCTGGACCATATAGAAACATACTTAAGCCAGGAAGTCCTTAGCCATGTTCTAGCATTAATTACCTTGCTTTCAAGCAGGGAAATGTCTTATCCCACCTGTTAGGGCAGTGGTTTTCAACCTGTGGGTCCCCAGGTCTTTTGGCCTACAAATCCCAGAAATCCCAACCAGTTTACCAGCTGTTAGGATTTTTGGGAGTTGAAGGCCAAAACATCACAGGTTGAGAACCATTGTGCTGGGGGGGGGGGGGGATAAGGTAGCTGAGGCTGTTGGCTTTCATGTCAGTCATGTGGCAAATCCAGTCCATGAGTTAAAAGAGCTATTCAAGGTACTGAACCCATCCCTAAAATATGTCCAGCACATTCAGTGGTGCCTTCCAAACATGAACTAAACCCTAGCGCCAACGCACCACTTCAATGACATGAGAACCACTGCTTATCAAGTGTGACAAACCTGAAGTGGAAGTGCTCCCCACACACAACAGGAACCTCTTAGGTGTGTTGCCTTGAGAGGAAGGTAGGATAGAGGTATATGCTCACCTGTTGGGCAAGTGAGATGAGTAATGCCTGAGCATGATATTTATTTAAGAAAAATCTCAGGCTAAGCATGAAGTTTTATAAGGCTTCATGTGAAGAAGGGCCCAATGATCAGTCTGAATGGGTAGGTCAAGTCCAGAAGTAAGAATACTTGACTGTTAGGAAGATGTCCAAGCAACTGTTGTGAAAGTCTACTGCACTGAGAATAGACATTTGGGTAACAGCATCTGACATTAGTTGCTTTTTTAAAAAAAATCTTGAATTAACTATCTGATTATTCTGATGTCACACCTGAACTGGGCAACATCAATCTGAAATATCACTGTGCTAAATCCTTTTAACATGTTTTACTTCCTCTGAAAATATTACCTACAGCGTACTGCTGATCTTTCTAAGTCTCATAAAATGCCTCATTACCAGTCTTGAGTGATGGTTTATAAAACAGGTCATCTAAACCAAATCCAAATATTTGACGGTGCCAATGACCAATGCTAAATTTATTTTTTTAACGAGAGTTATCTGGACAGTTAGGTTACAAGGCACATCTTGCAAGGAATTTTCTTGGGGGAAGTTGGTATCACTGCTGCGTAATGGGAAGCAGGCAGAAGCAAACGAGCAGTGCCAGTCATCAGTAGCTCATCAACTGGTGTTGCGGTGAAGGTTTGAGATGAGCATTCTCATTCCGTTTCCTGCCAAGTGTGAAGTTTGTGCTGTAATACGCTACCTAAAGGGCATGAATGTTGCTGCGATTCATTGTGAGAAAAATCATGGTGTCAGTCTTTTGGGACAGAAAAGGGGTTCTGTTCATTGGTTTTTTGGAAAGAGGTGAAACAATCAATGCTGCAAGATATTGTGAGACCACGAAGAAACTTTGCAGAGCCATCCAAAACAAACATTGTGGGATGCTGATGGAAGGAGTCTGTCTCCTTCATGATAATACGTGTCTGCATACTGCTCATGCAAGACAAGAGTTGTTGACTTCATTTGGTTGGGATGTTTTAAGCCACTCCTCTCGCAGCCCCAGTCTCTCATCCAGTGACTATCATCTGTTCACTAAATTGAAGGAACACCTGGGTGGAAAATACTTTTCTGATGATGGCAGTGTGAAAATCGAAGCAACAAACTGCCTGAAAAAGGTGGCGGTAGACTTCTATGAAACAGGCATCAAAAAACTCGTTGCATGGATGACAAAATATATTGAACTGAATGGTGATTATGTGGAAAAATAATGTAATACCTATGCTATGATCCATGTAAGTTTTATTAAAATATATTCATTCTTTGTATTTTAAAAAATCTTGTAACTTTATTTTCCAGATATCCCTTGTAGTTTACACTGTACAGTAGAGTCTCACTTATCCAACCTTCACTCATCCAATGTTCTGTATTATCCAATGCAGTCTGCCTTCCACCCTGATCCACAGATGTTTCAATGCATTGCGATGTTTTGATGTTAAATTCGGAAATACAGTAATTACTACATAATGTTACGTGTACTGAACTGCTTTTTCTGTTGATTTGTTGTAAAACATGATATTTTGGTGCTTAATTTGTAAAATCATAACGTAATTTGACGTTTAATAAGCTTTTCCTTAATCCCTCCTTATTATCCAACATTTTTGCTTCTCCAACGTTCTGCAAGCCCGTTTATGTTGGATAAGTGAGACTCTACTGTATTTGAGTTATTTGGTCATTTATTTTACCATCCCTTTCCGAGCCATCCTTGTGAGGAAACCAGAGTTTTTGTTTCCTAGATTACTAAATGGAGAGAAAAATGATTAAGTTTACATTGACAAGTGGCTGAAAGAAACCCAAAACTTAATAGCTTTATTGTGTACCAGTTGGGAAATTATTTATCTGAGGGAAAACATTTACATCACAATAACTGTGTTACCTAGCAAGAAATACATGTCTGACAATGAAACTTTCTTGCTCTCTTGGGCAGCTGTGTCTTGTCTTATTTAGATTGATAGCTCTTTGGGGTAATGCCTGTATCTCCTTTATTGATTTCATTGTTTAGATATTGGATTTTCTGTGATGTGAGTACAGAAATGAGCATATAAAGAGGGCTTGGGTCCAGATGCCTTCCACTATGGCATGAGTTTAGGGATCTCTCACTCCCTTCATCAAAAAAGATTCACATAGTGTTTTGTTTACACAGCCAGGCCAAATAGTTCTCTTTCATTTTGTCCGTTGTGTAAGCTTTCCTGTTCAGCTCAATGTAAGTTCTAAATTTTAGGAGAATTTTTTCACAGACGTATACCTTTAAATGTACAGTCATTCGACAGACCTTGGAAGTATTCTCCATTAAGATTTCCACTCCCCAAATCCCCAAATATTAATAATTTAAACGGATTAAAACATATTAAGTAATATAATGAAAAAACAAGTCAAAATAGTTTCAAAACCATCTCCATATACAAATAAGGCCCCAAAAGCTTTAATACAAAGCTGCATTTTAACTTGGCACTGGAATGAATTCAACATCAATATCAATCAGGGTAGAATAAAGAACAGGCATGCGTAGGATGGCACCACAAATATTACTCTTCTTACATACTGTATTTAAAAATACCAGTCTGTGTAATTAATTTCTCCTTGAACTTGGGGTGAGGAGCTTACCTCTGATCGGCCCATGCGATCTAGGTTGGAGATATCATATATATCTGCTACAGCAGCTGTGTCCACGCCACCTGTGCCACGCTTCTGAAGCCTCAGGTTTTCCAGGATCTTTGCAAATCTAGGATCCTGTGATAAGAGAGGTTTGGTTATTTTGAAATGTGGATGACTTGCATTACAGATGTACTTGAAAACAGCAGTTTATTTAATTCACACTTTACATGTTTCAGTTCGAAGAGCTAATTTATGAAGATGGTTCATGTACTGACATTGTAAAAGATTAATGTATGATGAAAAGTCATTTTAGGTAAATGCCAACCTTGCTAAGCTTGGGAAGTTTAACATGAACTCCTGCACGTAATCCCGTTCCCAGATTGGAAGGACAGGTCAAGACATATCCTAAACGTTCATTCCACATAAACTCCCATCCTCGTTCTTTAATTAGCCTTTCGACCTGCAGGGGAAATAAAATGCAATGAACCACAGCATACAAATGAGCGATCTGTTGGTAAGCACCAGTCTTCTGTTGAAATAAATTCTATCTACTAGCAACCTATATTATAATTGCACAAGAGCAAAGCTTATGATTAGAGATAAATACAGTGGGCTCTTAGTATCTGCTGGGGCTTGGTTCTAAGTCTCTCATGGAACTCAAAATCCATGGCTGCTGAAGCCCCATTGTATGCAATGACATAGTAGAAAGGCATCTTTTATATACATTCACAAAAATCAAGGTTTGCTTTTTGAAATTACAATAAATATTTTTAGGTCATAGACGGCGGAATCTGCAGATGCAGAATTCATGGATATGCAGGGTCCATGTACACACTTTGGCTTTTATTTGGTTAGACTCAGATAACTTTTTCATCTTTTAGTATTAAGTAGCATTCGCTGCATATTTGCACAGAAATTGCTTTTCATATTCTTACTGAAAGTAAGGCGGAGAAGACTACACTTTTTGGATTTAAGTTTAGAAACTAACTTAAAATGAGGAAACTACAGACCACAAAGGGAAATGCTTTTTGGAAGTGTCCCTATGTAAAACAAAAAGAAAATATTTCAGCAAGGAAGGCCCCACCACCACCACTGAGAAAAACTACCACCTGGCATTATGCAAACCTTCACACTCTTTTCTATTTGCAAGGTTAAATATAAAGTAGAGAATTGAAAAGCAGATCTCTCCACCTATGGGCAGATATGGCACCACCCAGTTCACTATTTCCCAACTCTGTCATGTCATTCTGCATTGATAAGCTATATCCGCTGAAATAATTCTCCCCATATAACATTTCAAGGGCAGGAAGTGTTGTAGCTTGTGAAGATCCCTTACCTTGCCAGCCGGGGTGGCAGGGCCCAGGAGAGGCAGGCTAGTTAGTTAAGCCTTAGAAGGCCTGGCAGGGAACAGCAGGAGCCATTTTAGTTTAGGGAAAGCTCCAGTGCAGAGAGGGGGAGTGGCCTAGGCCTGAGCCAGCCCTGAAACAGCCAGGATTGGTTTGTTAAAGGGGGGCGGAGTTAGACTGTTGGAGGGAAAGMAAGAAGCTTATTKTAGTSAGTTCAGTTCAGTTCTGGTTGATGTTAGAGWTAGAGCAGGRTKASAGWAGCTWKTAGGAGTTCGTGATTAGAATAGGCAGTTTGCCTGAAGTTTGCACAGTGAAATAAGCTGTGGCAAACTGGTTACAGCTATTTTAGGGAAAAATAGCTGGGTTTTTGTAATAGGAACTGTAACAAAGAAAGTACCATTCTCTCATGCAACCGTTACGCTTTTAAGAACAAGAACACTTTAATTGTAACAGCCAAGCCTATGAAACTGCATTCACTTCATTCTGTAACTTTTATTCAATAAACTTTCCTTGTTATTTTTGAACTTAAGCCTGAGTCAAGTGCCATTTGTGGATTTAGTCCCTTTTCTTTTTAATTCAACCTCACCTGTTTCCCTTTAGAGAAACCCTTTTAAAAAACACAGTACTTGGTGGTCTAAAAAGCCTTTTCTTAGTTTAACCAGCTAGAGGGTTCCTGTTCATTTGAGTTATGGTGGCAGCGAAGGTTTAAATAAAGAGACATCCCCTCAAGCGTTGTGTGGGTGCCAGTGAAGTCTTTATATTTGGTATCAGATGGTGGGATTGATCGTATTGCCATCTGCCTTGCCTTTATAATTGGTGGGGCAGTGGTGGGTTTGTTTGACCTCTGCCCAGACGGCCATTAAGGAGTTATTATATAGCTCAGCAAGCGGATGAGGATTTTTCTGACATTTCAGAAGAGGAGAGGATTGATGCGTTTCAAAATGAAGAGTATGTCAGTGTTAGCAGAGAATTGCAGGCAGATGAGACTGATGTTTTCAATTCCAGTGTTCATTCCCAGGCAACCAGGTAAAGTGAAAGTCTCAAGTATCTTGAGAAATGGCCTTCAGCCGATGGGGAATTTTCCCGAGAAATTAGATTAAGTTTGAGAATGGAGGGAGTGAAAAATAGACTAATTAGATGTTCTGAGAGAATTCATGATAGGGCTTTGAAGTCCAGGTGTGTTCAGCATGATCTCACAGCTACTTGGATGGGTTTAAATTAAGTGGTGTTGGCTTCACACCTCTCAGAGGAGAAAACGTTACCATTTGGGATGGCTCTCCTGTCTCTACTCACAAGTTCATGATTCAAGTATTCTCAAGTTTCCTGTTCTGGTCCATGCCATTGTTTCCTTGAATGCTTTACCTTGGAAAAGTTATTGCTTTCTTGTTTATGTATTTATGTTTGAAGCACTGCTGTGGTTCTTGGTTTTCTTGATTTTATGTACTTTGGCATTTTTGGATTACTGCTATTTTGCATTTTCTATTCTTCTGATCCTTTTGGAATTGTCCTTTTTCCTTTTGACCTGCTTGCTTCAATAAACATTTTTAGATAGAAGTACTGGACTCTGATGTGGTCCTGGGTGAAAAGCTGTTTCAGTGCTAAATTGCAACAGGAATTCTGTCCTTTCTTGCATGTAGTGACCCTATTCTGCCCTTCTCTAAAAACTTTCAGACTGTGAAGACATTAAGATAAACAGAAAAAATGACCAGTAACCGTGCAAAGATACAGGCAGCTGCTGTAACAATGATTTCTAAAGCCCAGGTTTCTCAAGGGTAGAACTGAGTACCTACCTCTAACAAGCCGCGGCAAAATCTTTCAAAGACTCTTTTCATGTTGCCTCCTTTTTCCATGGAAATCACCCTTGTGTGGTCCTCTTCATTGATCCAAATGAGAAATGTTTTGTCATTATTGTGCCTGGTTGGGAGAAAATAAGCAATTGTCACACAAACCTTGAAAATAATTCTTATACGTTTCCTCATTTCATCACTTCTCTCAGATGCCCCATCCCTCCTAAGGGGGAGGAATTTCAGCATGAGAGCACTGCCTTGAAAAAAACGTTTTCAGTGTATGATGATGAATGATTCATGCTTCTGAAGCTACTTCTGCAGAAGTAGACTTATAAACAGAGATCGGATGAATATCTCTCTGGAGTGCTTTAATCCTATTTTCTTTTATGGCAGGAATTTGGACTAGATCAGTGGTCCTCAACTGTAGGTCCTCCAGGTAGTATGGACTTCAGATCCCAGAATTCCTGAAAGCTTCTGTGAGTTAGTCCCAAATACCTGGAGGAGCAAAGGTTGGGAACCACTGAACTAGATAACCCTTGTGGTCAAATTCAGCTCTCTAGGAACACCTACATTGTAAAATTAATGCAATTTGACATAACTTTAACTGCCATGGCTCAATGCTATGGAATCTTGGGAGTTGTAGTGAGGCACTAGCACTCTGGCAGAGAAAGCTAATGACCTTGTAAAACTACATCGCCAAGAATTCCATAGCATTGAGCCATGGCAGTTAAAGTGGTGACAAATTACATTACTCCTTCAGTTTAGAAGCATTCTATGGTTAGATTTGCCCTATTGGCTTCTTGCCCTGCCTGCTTCTTATCAAGTAGGCTTATTATTTCTGTAATTATAATTATCATGGCTATTATTTTTGTCATTGTAATAACAACATAATTGGTCTAGTTTCTAAGGTTATATGAAGAACAACCTTTCTCAGTCTCAATCCCACTGATAATGAACTTCTGTTAGCCTAGAAAATACACATTATTCTCTGAAACAAATGTGGAGTGTGCTGCTATGGGAACTGAGAAACAGAAGACTGTGGACACCCTTTTTAACAGGTGGCAGGAGAGGAAATTTGTGCCTCAAGTTTAGAACATTTTGAAACAGGAACATCTTGTCCGAAGTCTAAACTCTATTTTATTTTTTTTATTTAAAGGTGTTTTTTTTCTAGGTGTTCTATAATAATATGAATACCAAAATTCATTATATGTCTTCCGCTCAGATCCAATAGAGTGCAGTGTTTGGTCTATGTCTCTGGGAGACTAATTTAGATATGAGTAATCATGGTTTTTTGAAGTTGGGATATTCTGCATAGTCTGCTTTCACTGGGGCTCCCCTGGTGCTGCAGTGGGTTAAACCACTGAGCTGCTGAACTTGCTGACCGAAAGGTTGGCGGTTTGAATCCAGGGAGCGGAGTGAGCTCCCACTGTTAGCTCCAGTAGTTCAAAAACATGTAAATGTGAGTAGATCAAAATATACTACTTCTGTGGGAAGGTAACGGCACTCTGTGCAGTCATGCCAGCTCTTCGGCTTAGAAATAGAGCTGAGCACCACCCCACAGAGTAGGACATGACTAGACTTAATGTTAGGGGAAACCTTTACCTTTACCCTATGCTTTCACGGCCGTTTCAGTGTGAGCTTAAGTCATTCACGATACTGAACACTGTACAGGTAATTTGTGTATATATTCTGCCTCCTTATTTCTGTTTCATATCTTTGTGATATCACCAAGGGTGATAATGGTTGGTTCTTATTTAACAGAGAGTAACATAACGTTTGAAAGTATCTCAGGAAATAAGAATTGATCAGGAGTTTGCCTTAACCAATAGCAGCCAGCTCCATCGCCAATCCCTGAAATGGGTTGCTGTACGTTTTTTGGTCTGTATGACCATGTTCCAGTAGCATTCTCTCCTGATGTTTCACCTGCAACTGTGGCTGGCATCTTCAGAGGTCTGTTGGAGGTGAGGCAAGTAGTGTGTGTGTGTGTGTGAGTGTGTGTGTGTGTGTGTGTGTGTGTGTGTGTGTGGAATGTCCAGGGTGGGAAAAATAACCTTTGTCTGCTTGAAGAAAGTGTGAATGTTGCAATTATGAGGCTTAATTAGCATTGATTAGAGGGATAGCATGACTTCCCTGGATCTAGACACTATACTATTTATGCAAGCCAAAATCCCATTGGTTTTTTAAGCTGCATATCACTTTGTTGGCTCATGTTTAACTTATTGTCCATGAGGACTCCAAGATCTTTTTCACATGTACTGTTGTTGAGCCACACGTTCCCCATTCTGTATCTTTGCATTTCATTTTTTCTGCTTAAGTGGAGTATATTGCATTTGTCACTGTTGAACTTCATTTTGTTAGTTTTGGCCCATCTCTCTAATCTGTTAAGATTGCTTTGAATTCTGCTCCTATCTTCTGGAGTATTGGCTATCCCTCCCAATTTGGTGTCATCTGCAAACTTGATGATACTGCCTTCTAACCCTTCATTTAAGTCATTAATAAAGATGTTGAACAGGACCGGGCCTAAGACAGAACCCTGTGGCCCTCCACTCGTCACTTCTTTCCAAGATGAAGAGGAAGCATTGGTGAGCACCCTTTGGGTTCGTTCACTTAATCAATTATAGATCCACCTAACTGTAGTTTTGCCTAGCCCACATTTGAGTAGTTTGTTTGCCAGAAGGTCATGGGGGAACCTTGTCAAAAGCCTTACTGAAATCCAGAGACACTACATCCATGGCATTCCCTGCATCTACCCAGCCTGTAATTCTACTTTTATGCAGAAAGTAAGTTTTCTTTGATAACAATAGAATAAACATAGAGTATGTTCACATAGCACCCAGGCAACGACACACCAAAAGACTAAAAATATTAAATTCATGCCTGTTATAAGCCAATTCACTTTAGTCAACATCATTCCTTTAAATTAAAAATGGGGCGAGGGGAGGGAGTGAGTTAATGAAATGAAACCCATTTCCTAAACACTTGTTCAGTGCCTTATTTTGTCAATTTGAAAAACTATCCTGTTATTAACAAACAGTTAATTGAGCAAGATAAAAAAAAGAAGAGAGAGCCATTGATAGAATGCAGGCAAAGCATGCAGTCAGGGTTAGGACAAACAGCTACTCTGTTAAAGAAAGAATTAATACAGATTGTTTGTTCACAAATTAAACAAACACACCATTCTCATTCCATACCAAATTCCTCGGGCATCTGGCCAGTCTCGGGCCATCCCGGCACACGTTAGCAAAGGGGAGACTGGCTTATCAAACAGGAAGTGGTCCTGCACACCAGCAGATAGGCAGAGCAGAAGGACATAAAATAAATAATTGGGTGTTGATCTCCTATTTATCACTGTAAAGATAATTCTACAGGCACAACCACAATTTAACCAACATATAAGGACTACTCTGGATATTTCTCCACTACCAGGCAGCATACCCAAATACTTTTACAGATTTTTATTTACATGTAACGATAAAGATTCTAACAAAAGTAACCATTTGTAACAATAATCATTTTGTTGCATAACATTTTTTAAAAAAATAGGGAGAAGCAATATGTAGAATCAAAAGGTGGGAAATGAATGTTTAAGTTAAACCAATTTATATTCCAACATCTTTCAGACAGAATTCTTAATATTAAGAACCTGGACATATGATTTTTCAGTCAAGAAGCTTATTAAACTCCTATGGTAAAAATGGAAAAGCTATTTAGTCTGACCTTTCCATTATTATTGATTATGGTAGTCCTGTCCTTCATTCTCAGTTCTATTTCTGTTCAATAGGTTAAGACTCAGATGAAACTGAGATTTTTAACTGGACTCATTTCCACACACCTGACATTAAATCTAGTCATGTCTGACTCTGGGGGTGGTGCTCATCATTTCTAAACCGAAGAGCCGGTGTTGTCCACAGTCACCGCCAAGGTCATGTGGTTGGCATGACTGCATAGAGCACCATTACCTTCCTGCAGAAGCGGTACCTATTAATCTATTCACTCTTGCATGTTTTCGAACTGCTAGAAGCTGAGCCTAACAGCGGGAGGCAACCTTTTGGTCAGCAAGTTCAGCAGCTCAACGGTTTAACCTGCGCTGCCTTTATTCTTACCATCAGTAAATAAATATACAAATAAAAATACAGAAACACCCATCCCCGATTATGACTCTGGCCTAGGAGTGATTACGCAGTTTTTCCCCATCTGAATTCTCAGATTTTGGGGTCTGAATTGACTGATCATTTTGACAAAGCATGACAAATGAGTATTTTAGTGTATTTTAAAAAATGTTTTAATCTTCATATTGTTTTAATGAGTTTTTACTTGTTCGTTGCCTCAGAAGTCCTTGTAGGTTCAGAGGTGATACAGAAATATTTTAAATAAATAAATAAGAGAACTGCTACTTTTCTTTTAATTTCCGACCTTTAAATAATAATGCTTATTTCTTTTTATTTCCTAGCCTTGACCATACACAGTTTTCTATGGTTTAGGTGAACATATTTTTCACTGTGTTGTTGAAGGCTTTCATTTCCGGTTGCTGTGAATTTTCCAGGTTGTATGGCCATATTCCAGAAGCATTCTCTCCTGACGTTTCGCCTACATCTATGGCAGGCATCCTCAGAGGTTGTGAGGTCTGTTGGAAACTGGGCAGATGAGGTTTATATATCTGTGGAATGTCCACCTTGATTAGCATTGCAACATTCACACTTGCCTCCAACAGCGAAGAGTTCTTTCTTCCACCGTGGATATTCCACAGATATATAAACCTCGCTTGCCTAGTTTCCAACCGTCCTCAAAGCCTCCTAGGATGCCTGCCATACATGTGGTCAAAACGTCAGGAGAGAATGTTTCTGGAATATGACCATACGGCCAGGAAAGCTTACAGTAACCTATCTTTTTCACTTTCTTTCATTTTCCAGATTACCAGTCACATAAGGACATAATGCAAAGTGGGTGTGTTGAGATAAAAGAATACAAAAGTTGACCCTAAACCAAATTGGCCAAACAAAACTGCAGCATAGTGTAATGGTTTGGGTTTTGGACTAGGACAAGGACTCTGGAGATTAAGTTTCAAATCTACCCTCAGCCATGGCATGAAGTTGAGCAAGTCTTAGCCTCCAATGAAGCAAAAGCAAGCCAAGAAAATTCTGTGAAAGTTTTACCTTAGGGTCACAACATATCAGAAATGACCTGAAGGCACACAACAACAATGGAAGTTTACACTATGGGACATTTTGATCTCAGGAGCTGTTATAGCCAATATCTAGCTTTTAAGGATTCAAATGCAATGCTAACAATAGCTTGATTATATCTATGTACAGATTCCAGACATTGTACGTACATCAATAAGCTGTTGCTGCTCTTTCTCAGACATATTGGTCAAACTGTAATACTTCCCAGCCAGATCTCCTTTCAGTCCTGCCAGAGCGGTAACAACCACATTTTCGACTTCCCTCCTCTCTGCCCTGGAACAGGCAGGAGGCAGGCTCAGCCCGCGGATGCTGCGGCCGGTGCGGACGCGAGATGATAAGACGTACTTCTCATCAAATTGTCCTTGGGTAATCTGAATACATAAAAAGGAAATGACAAAATGTGAAAATTGTTTCCAAAAAGCACGGAAGAAAGAAAAAGAAAAGAAAAACGAGTTAGAGAGCCGTTCAGCAGTGGAACCAGAGTGTGGTGGAGGCTCCTTCTTTGGAAGCTTTTAAACAGAGGCTGGATGGCCATCTGTCAGGGGTGATTTGAATGCAACATTCCTGCTTCTTGGCAGGGGGTTGGACTGGATTGCCCATGAGGTCTCTTCCAACTCTTTGATTCTATGGTTCTATGATAGGTGGCAACACATTGTTGGCTAGGAGTAGAATATTATGCATGGATCAAAACTATCAAAATGTATGAAATAACTTCAGTAAAGGACTTGGAAAATGGCATTTTATAACAAAAGATTGATATAGTAACTTTCAGAAACAAACTCCACAAATGAATTCAGTGAATATGTATTATATTTAGGACCATTTCTATGCAAGGAAAAAGTTGGGATATCATATTCATTCATTCATTCCAGGTGTGGCCCAAGAAATTTTATTGCCTGAGGCAGAATACAAATGATCCACCTCCTTCAAAATATGCATCAATGTTATTTTCGGCACTGGAGGGTATCCATAGTAATGGCTGTAGGTGTTATTTTAGCACACGAGGCAGAAAATCCCTTTGCCATCTCTTCCAAATAGAAGAGTTAGAAAGCATGATCATCAAGTTTGCAGACAACACCAAATTGGGAGTGATAGCTAATACTCCAGAAGACAGGAGCAGAATTCAAAATGATCTTAACAGATTAGAGAGATGGGCCAAAACTAACAAAATGAAGTTCAACAGTGACAAATGCAATATACTCCACTTAAGCAGAAAAAATGAAATGCAAAGATACAGAATGGGGAACGTGTGGCTCAACAACAGTACATGTGAAAAAGATCTTGGAGTCCTCATGGACAATAAGTTAAACATGAGCCAACAACGTGATACGCAGCTTAAAAAACCAATGGGATTTTGGCTTGCATAAATAGTATAGTGTCTAGATCCAGGGAAGTCATTCTACCCCTGTATTCTGTTTTGGTCAGACCACACCTGGAATACTGTGTCCAATTCTGTGCACTGCAATTGAAGAGAGATGTTGACAAGCTGGAATGTGTCCAGAAGAGGGCAACTAAAATGAGAGAACAAGCCCTATGAGAAGCGGCTTAAAGAGCTGGGCATGTTTATTCTGCAGAAGAGAAGGCTGAGAGGAGACATGATGAGGGCCATGTATAAATATATGAAGGGAAGTCATAGAGAGGAGGGAGCTGGCTTGTTTTCTACTGCCCTGGAGACTAGGACGTGGAACAGTGGCTTGAAACTTCAGGAAAGGAGGTTCCACCTGAACATTTGGAAGAACCTTCTAACTATGACAGCTGTTCAACAGTGGAACTCCATGCGCCGGAGTGTGGTGGAGGCTACTTCTTTGGAGGCTTTTAAGCAGAGGCTGGATGGCCATCTGTTGGGGGTGTTTTAAATGAGATTTTCCTGCTTCTTGGCAGGGGATTGGACTGAATGGCCCACGAGGTCTCTTCCAATTCTATGATTCTATGAATATATTTTAAACAACTAACATTTTCTGCCCTTTCATTATAATAAAATCAGTTGCCTGGCCCTCTACGTACTAATATGGCTGGAAGCAGTGAGCAGTTCAGTGGTTCTCCATGGACATTTTCAGAGGATCTAGGAATGGGGTTACATGAGCTGGTCCTGTCTCCTACAGTGAGTGGGAAGGTCAGAAGGGAGATTTGTAGGTGTTTTTGGCTGCATACAAATTACACTCCTGCATAAAGTTGGGACCCTTTCCACACCCTTGAGTTTGAGATCACAAAAAGGACTGTACAGCTGTGTTCAGGCAAATGAAATTTCAGACTCTATTCCTATTAAAAACAATAATCTCCCGCAGTTATTTCAATAATGCACAAAAATTAAAGACCAGGAGATTTTAATTAACTTGTTTTGGCTCTTGGTTCATTTAATATAGCCCTGGTCTTCAGTGGGTTGTAAGAAATATTTTGTGGAAAATATTTGCTGACTGAAGTAGCCTTATTATTATAACCATTACCATTTTATCTGCAGAAGGACATTTTCCCCTTTAATCCTACCTTGGAAGAATCCAGATCAGTGTGATGCTTCATTGCTTTTGGATCATAGCCATTATGTCTCACTTTGATAACAGGATCAAAAATCGCTGCAAATACCTATAGAATCAATGGTAAATTTTAATGAACATTCTACAGTTTGAATTTGCACATAACTTGGGAGGAACTAGTTTCAAAGGTAAAAAGTGACAACAATAGTGACTGACTACCTTGGACTGGGAACTACAATGGTAACAGGTTGTTTTCTAGAAGTAACTTTCTGAGCTCTAGTTCCTCTCATGGAATTCCCTCAACAGAAATGCTCAACAATCTGACTCAACAAGTTTTAAGTTGCGTATTTGAAAATACATGGTATTTATCACATGCTAGCTTTATTGTTCTATTAGTAACTGCTGTTTTATAATCATTACTTTTGTTATTTATTTCCAACTACTATATTTATTTAGCATATTTATATTCTGCCCTTCTCTGAATGAGACTCAGAACGGATCACAGAACACATATATGGCAAACATTCAATGCCGTTATACACTGACAAGACAGACAACTTTACACAGATATAGGCTTTCCCATTTTCAGCATCTTGGAGGCTGTGCTCAGTTCTGGCCACAGTAGGTACTGTCGCTCTACTTTCCCTACCAAAGAGTTTTCTTCGTAAACTTCCTCCTTGATCGAATTGCTGGCATTTTTCTGCATTTCCTTATGGATGCCTTAAACACCTCTCTGCTTAAGTGTTACCAATTTATCTACCCACACTGCTGTTTTTGAAACTTCTATGCAGGCAGAAGCTGGGCTAAAGGCCAGGAGCTCAACCTGACCTGGGCTTCAAACTGTCAACCTTTCAATTGGCAAGATTTACTGCAGCTGGCGTTTAACCTGCTGTGCTAAAGCCCAGCCCTTTGTTGCATATTTCTATATAGTATAGAAAAATACAACAAACCAGAAATAAAACTAATCTACCACAGAGTTTTTACATTAATTACACAAAATCACTCCTAAAATTAACTAATCAATCTTACTCTCTAAACTCCTTGCCTCCACACATTAAAAAATGATTTCTCACCCTCTGATCCAAAGATATCTATATGAACTATCTTCATACTATTATAAAATTACATTTATCTTCATTGTTAGTCATCCTGACTTTTTAGAAAGGTAAATTATACATTTGACAAAAGATACAAGCACAATTCAGATACATTAGTACCCCCCTCTCTTGTTGAAGGAGATTGCGAACAACCCTGCAAAGAAACAAGCAGTTTTAATATTTCCCTCTAATCCACTATTTGAAACATTGATTTAGCAATCCCTTGGAAGACAGAATCTTGTAATGGTAATGTAATGATAAATCCATTTCTTTCCAGGCTTATCATTCGTTTGTGGATATTTGGGAAGTTAAAACAAGTCTTTTATCAGTGTGTTGCGTTGTATTTAAATTAATGTATACGTACAATGCTAATACTGAACTCTAGAGCCAAAGAAGAATTAACAAAGGGCTTCTAGAGGATTAACATTTCAGTAGGGCAATTTCTTTCAGTCTTCTCGTAAATTACAGTTCCCATCATTAACCTATGCACCAATTACACTAATTAGCTAGCATATCTGGCAGTGGCAGTTGAAATGTTAGTGAATACCTGACAAAGTCATTGTCTACTCTTTTCCTCTCTTTTTTTTCTTTGCAGAATTGTTAATATTTCCCCTTTTAAGTTTTCTATCTGTTTTAGAAGGCTCTCTTGTATCTCAAAAATGCTGTATTTTTTTTAAAAAAAGAAAGCAATACATTTTTTTCTTAACCAATACAGCAAAACATTTGATAAGGTCCCCTACAATATTTTGATTAACAACTTGATTAAATACAGAATAGATGGGAATACTGTCAGGTGGATCCATCATTTGTTGGAGAACTGTGCTCAAAGTGTCATCATCAGTGACTGAAAGGAGGTCTCAAATGGAAGAGCCATTACTCTTCACCATTTTTCTCAATAACTTAGATGATGGGGTAGTAGGAATCCTTATCAAGGTTGCAAATGACAAAAAACTGTAGCTAACATGCTGGAAGACAGGAACAGAATTCAAAATGACCTAGATCAATGAATAAATTGGACACCTTTGGTGATGATAGCTATCAGACAACACCATCTGCATCCCGCATCCCTCTAGTTTGCTTCTTCCCAGTGATTTTCTTGTCCCTCTTAAATGGACAGGTAAATCTCACTATGTTCCCATTACTTACATTAGCAAGATAGTTCACTTCTGCTTCTGAGAGGAGTCATGATAGTGATGTTTAAATATTTGAAAGAATGTCACATTGAGGGAGGGGCAGGCTTGTTTCCTCCTGGGCAGTGGTTCCCAACCTGTGGTCAGTGGACCACTAGCGGTCCGCAAGAACGAAAATATGGTCTTCGGCCTCACCATTACTACACCATTGCTTCGAAACCATGAGACAATGAGAGCAACTGTTCTCTCAAAACCCTCTTATAGTGCCGAGGCAATGCGGATGTCAGAAGAGGAGAGGCTGACTACCCTTGAAATATTACTACTACCACATCAGCTCTAGATTATTAAATATGTTTTTCTGTGGACGAGGAGATGATGAGTACTGGATGGCATATGTTTTGTATCAGAAACTAGAACTGATGTGGTCTAACCAGTGCAGTTTTCTTAATCAGCACCCCAAATAACCAAACCATAGCCGCTCTGAGCCCCCCCCCCCCCCCGGGGAGGGGTTGAGAAGGGCGGGGTAAAAATGCTGTAAATAATAAATCATATTTGTTGACCAAAAGTTGACCAAAAACAGATTCATAACGCTTTGTTACTATTATTGGAGAGTGGTCCCTGGTCAAAGTGGTCCCTGATCAAGAGGTCCCTGGTTAAATGGTGTGGGTCGAGTGGTCCCTGGTCAAAAAAAGGTTGGGAACCACTGGGCTAGGGCAAGGAGCAATTGATTCCAATAGCAGAAAAAGATATTCCACCTAAATGTTAGGAAGAACTTCCTGATAGTTAAGAGGTGTTCAACAATGGAATATGCCGCATGGGAATGTGGTGGAGTCTCCTTCTCTGGAGGTTTTGAAACAGAGACTGGATGGTCATCTGTTTGGAGTGCTTTGATTGAGAGTTCCTGCATAGCAGAGGGTTGGAATGGATAGCCTTTGGATCTCTTTGATTCTATGATTCTATGAACTTCTAGCAATTGAGTTCATAGAATCATAAATGTATTGACCAATGTATTACTATATGGCATTGAATTATTGCCTTTGTAAGGCTGCCCTGAGTCCTCTTTTGGGGTTGAGAAGGGTGGGATATAAATGTGGTAAGTAAATAAATAAATAGCAACTGCTTCTCAAATTCTAAGCTAAAAATAAACTCCTTAATAATAATAATTAATAATAAACTTTATTTTTTGATTGCCCTATCTCCCCTGGGGGTCTCAGGGCAGTTTACACATACAAAGGCAAATATTCAATGTTCAGCATGTACCAAAACATTACACCAATAAACATAATATGGAATAATAACAGCATTGTACTAGTCAAATGAAATTAAATATCAAAATAAAAACATAGAACAACTAATCACTAATTTAGATTGCTTTGTGTTGCGTTCTGGTTTTTTGTTTTTTTTCTTCAGGTGGAAGCTCCATTACCCCAAAATATCAAGGAATTCCCCCAATACCACAAAAAGGGGTTGGGAATGATGCAACATTACATCTGGTGCAGCACAGCTGCAGAACTTAAAAAGGGGTGAAAATGGACAGATGCATTCCTCCTGGTTCACATGCATGTGTTACATATGTTATACATATGAAACAAAACTACTACTTCATTCCAAGAGCAGGGAAGGCAGTGATCCTGGAGAAATATTTCCTTGCTATTCATAGGATATCCTAAAATATGAAAACTTGAGACAATTTACTAGGTACAATGTGCAGAAATTAGAGTTAGCGCATATCTGGTATCACAGAAGACTGTATATGTAACCATCAGCCTCTGAAGTTAATATCTTAGGTTTCATTAGGAGAGTAGAACACTCTCAGCAAGGGTTAAAAGGGTTATGGCAGCATTTTCTACTTAATTAGAACCAGAAATATTGCTTCACCTCTGGCTGCTACCCTTGTTCCAGTCTCTAGGAAGCTTATGAATTCATTTTGAAAACCTACAATAATTATGTATTTCTACCTGTTTAGAAGGGAAAAAATTGAACCCTGCTTTACATTAGACTTCAATATATTCTTCTATAGTTTGACAAAATACCTATAGGCCGTGTGTGTTTGTTTCCCCATTTGTTTTGACTTTTTTGTCTGCCAACTGTGAATTGCAATTTTTTAATGTAGCTAATAAATAAAACAAGCTGTTTGGGTAGAATTCAAAAACATAGTCGTGTTAGTCTGGAATAACTGTATGAAGAGGGAATCTTAGAGACTAAAAGAGAATGGAGCTGGTGGCATAAGCTTTGATAGATGGATCTGAAAAAGTAGACTTAATGCAGTTTGGCACTTTTATCTCCATGGTTTAATAATAGGAGAAGGAGCCCCCAGTGTTGCACTGGGTTAAACTCTTGTGCTGGCAGGACTTAAGACCGACGGGGAGAGCACAGATGAGCTCCCTTTGTCAGCTCCAGTTCCCCATGCGGGGACATGAGAGAAGCCTCCCACAAGGATGTTAAAACATCAAAACATTGGGCGTCCCCTGGGCAACGTCCTTGCAGACGGCCAATTCTCTCACACAAGAAGCGACTTGCACTTTCCCAAGTCACTCCTGACACGAAAAAAATAGTATGGAACATGGGAATTGTAGTTTCACAAGATAGTTAGCCTTCATTGCCAAAGAGTGCGGGTGTCTCACCAAACTACAAATCCCAGAATTCCATAGCATCGAGCCATGGCAGTTAAAGGGGTGTCAAACTGCATTAATTCTGCTGTATAGATGCACCCTTAGTCTGTTACCAACTTCATTCTCTCAGTTGATCCCTGGGTGCTGCAAGATCCCATTGCCACTTTAGGTCTTTTGTGGAGAGAAAAAGTGGGATACAAATAAACATAATAATAATAATAATAATAATAATAATAATAATAATAATAATAATAATACTGTGGTTTTCTGGCATTGTATATTTCTGCCGCTTTTGTGACTCTTCTTTTGTGTTTTGATTCTATAGCCAACTTGTTGATGGATGCCCAGAATCAGCAGCACCTATTGCGGTCCTTTTTATGCTGGGCATCTATTGAGCCAGTATTGACTTTGTTTTGGTTTATTTCTCCATAGTGCTAATGGGTTAGGTGGTCTTAGTTCCACTCCTCAGCTTAGACCTCTTTGACTTGGTTGGACCTACAGGTAGTTACACTACCGCCAGCACAGCTCTCAGCATCCTTGGAACACTTAAGCCCCACAACAAGGTGGAAGTGTTCGACTTGTGACTTTGTAATACAAATTCCAGCATATACATCTCATTTGCTGTGTCATTGTGTTTTTGTGTCATTGTAGTAGTAATAATAATAATCATAATAATAATTGCATACTGCAAAATAATTGCAAAAAGTGGGTATATTAGTTTTCAGAAAATACAGTCCCAGAAAAACCCATCAATATTTTTAAATATTTTGAAAACTATTTTTCCACCCAAGTTTTCTCATGCCTGTTCTCTGAAAATACTTTTAATACATGTCTTCTCTGCTAGAGCGCTTGTGCCTCACAAAGCTAAAAAATCCCAAGATTCCATAGCATTGAGCCATGGCAGCTAAAGTGAGTTAAACTGCATTAACTATATAGTGGACATGCATACTGAGATTTTGGCAACCTAAGTTTTTTAAAGTTACACTTAAAAAAAAATATCTCAGAAAAAATATCTCTTGCCTCAAGCAGACAAGAGTTCCTTCTCCCACCCAGCACATTCCACAGATATATAAACTTCACTTACTTAGTTTCCAACAGACCCCTCAACCTCTGAGGATGCCTGCCATAGATGTGGGTGAAATGTCTGGAAAGAGTGCCTTTGGAGCATGACCATACAGCCCAAAAAATGCACAGCAACCCAATAATTCTAGCCATGAAAGCCTTCAACAACACATTAAAATTTTGTCTTCTGTGCCTGCATTTTACATTACTATATACAGAGCTTCTTTAATGGTGCTTTAGCTTCACTGAGCTTCCTGTTAAAGGAGGAAAAGACTCCAAAATCCCACAAAGAAAGATATCCATACAGCTTTTGTTTTGTGCACACTCTAGTGTCCTATTTCCATTAACTCTACAGTTAATGGCTAATGAGGAACCAGTTATGTGCTTCATGAATTAAATGCACAAGCCAATGACATAGACACACCATATAAATGTTTGTTTTTACCTCGTAAGACTCCTCATCCCCAGCGACCATGCCCACAGTTTTAATGAAAGGGTGGCCAGGATTGTCAACGCCTGTTTGGATGCACTGATCCAAGGTATAACCACTGGGAGTCATTTTGTCCCTCAGTTTGGCATAGATTGCCGGAGTGAGGCACTCAGCCATGCAGTTGTTGTGTTTACGAAGATCGGGATAGTCTGCACTGGATAAAAAGAAATTAAAGACATTCATATTGATAAGTAAAGCTTGCTGTGTTCTAAAGTATATATGCGGAGGAAGTTGGAGGAAATCAGCATCGTTCTCGTCTTCTCGTCTCATGCCTCTGTGCCTTTGTGGGAAACGGGGGGGGGGGGGGGGGGGGAGTGTAAATATTTTACAGTGAACTGGGCAATTTTCAGAAAAACAGCAGAAGACTGGGAAGCGTAATTGGTTGTTGACTCAGGCATGCTATTGAAATTTAGATGGGAAGCAAGCATACAGTGGTTCCAGGGGGGAATGCTAGCTTTGGCTGAAACAACAGAGACAGTTCCAGTGAAGATGGAAGGAAGGAAACATCCTTCAGAATATATATTTGTGCCGGTTTCTGCCAAATCCAATGTGCAAGTAAAGTTAATGAGCAGAATACACAGCTGGTAGAAATCAACATGGCCAAAACAGAACTGCTGGAACAATACCTGTACACACAATTTGCAAAGATGTACCTTTTACACTAAAATATTGATACTTTCATTATTCAAAATCAATACTACCAAAGAAAGCGAGTGCAGTGCGGTACTCAGAACATTAGACTAAGGTTAAGGAGAACTTTGTTCAAGATGCTAATGAGCCATAAAACACATTGGCCACACGTTCACTCTCAGCCTAATCTATCTCAATGTTAGCAGGGAGGTTCTGTGAACTACTTGGAGGATATACATTTAACGAAGAATTGTTGCTGTGTGCCTTCAAATCATTTTCTGACTTAAGGTGATCCTAAAGTGAACCTGTCATGGAATTTTCTGAGTCTAATGACCTCATCATATCAGGATATAATCAATTTCTATCAGTATGCAACCTGTCATTTTTTCTGACTGAGTGCTGATAGGACACATACTGACCCCATCACACCCAAATACTACGATTCTTACCTTTGTAAATTGCTGAGCTTTGTCCCATCACACCACAAAAAGCTGATTCTTCCCAAGCCATTCAAAAGACCCCTTATGTCACTCTGTGACCTTTTAAAAAATGTTTTTCAAAATCTGCACAATGACCTGGCCTCAAAGTCTCTAATAACTTCTCTCACGAGATCTGAAAACGTATTCGTGTCTGCACAGTAAATCATAGAATCGTAGAGTTGGAAGAGACCTCATGGGCCATCCAGTCCAACCCCTTGCCAAGGAATATTGCATTCAAAGCACCCTTGACAGATGGCCATCCAGCCTCTGTTTAAAAGCTTCCAAAGAAGGAGCCTCCACCACACTCCGGGGCAGAGAGTTCCACTGCGGAATGGCTCTCATGCATTCGCCTCATTGCTATCTTTTGATGAGATATACAGAGATCTATAGTACGGACTTTCTGAGAAATCTAATCTTATTGGATTTTTAAACAATAGATTATTGATTCATTATATATGGCTCCTTTGCTGCATCTACTGTTGCTGCTGCTGTGGCGACTACTTCAGTTTTATGAGGCTGAACCCGAGGCAATGCAGAGGCAACAGTAGCTTCTGGCAATGCTGCTTTTCCTTCTGAGGAGGTGCAATAGTTAAAAGTAAAAGTTTGTTGCCTCAGTACAGATACAACAGAGGAAGAAATTGAGCAGATTCTGGTTTTTAAAATTAGATATATATATAATGAGGTAAAGCAGCAATTCCCAATTTCTTTAAGCTCTTTCTCCTTTGACATCCCAAACAGAAATGGCAGCTGCTTCTATCATAAAAATTCTGGGGTCAAAATACTCCTCTGACCAAACATGCTCCCTGATGACAAATCGTATCTTTGCTGATGGGATGCATACTGATTTCCCGATCACATGCAAAAACAGTGCTTCAGCGACTGAAAACTTCATAGTATTTCACATACTACAATTAGAATATAATCTAAAAATACTGCTTCTACTAAGTTCTGCAGACACATTTCTATAGATTACCAATGGGTTTGGGTAAATGTCGTGATGGGACCTGTTGGAAATCATTCTCAATCAGTCTCAGAAATGGAGTATTTCCTAATGTGATGAGGTCCTAAAAGTGTGTGACTTGTCCTAGGTCACCCAGCAGGTTTTCACAGCCAAATGGGGATTTGAATCCGATACTCTAGAGTCGTAGGCCTACACACTCAAACCACTATGCCAAGTTGGTTCCTTAATTAAGAATACCAATTAGAAATTTTCCTATATTTCCACTGAAGAGTCTGTGGCTTTTAAAATGATTTACTTTTCATGACAAATATCTGCTTATGCTTTTCTAAGTTTTGGCTTTCTCATTTCTGTCCTGTTGACCTCAATTCATCCTCTTACTCACTGCCTAGTGTTTACCTTGCTTACAATTTTCATCACAATCTTTCTTTGGCTTTCCACAAGACTTTTTGCCAACTTCGTATCTGTAGGTTATGTTCTGATTTCCCCCCCCCCCCCCACACACACACACACTTTCTTTCATTTAGTCCCAAATCTTGGAAAGGCCATATTTTGGGTCTCAGAAACCCCCAGCCAAGTAAGGCCATAGAACTTCTTCCCTTACAAGCTGACTGGCAATTCTCCCCTGCATGCTTTACTTTCTCAATATGCTATCTTTTTTCAAAAAATTGTTCAGTAGAGATATTCAATTCTTTGAAGCAACATACCCCAGCATTTATTCGCAATTTGAATCAAAGTATTTACCTTGGAGGAAATAATCTGTTTCTTCCAGAGGATCCAGCTTTCACATTCTGCTGATTCAACAGGTATCCAGTTGTCAAGGCTCCAGTGCTAACAGTTGCAAAGAGAACAGTGGTTTTTCGACCTGCCAGGAGACGTGAGAAAGTGCTAGCCATTTTTTGAAACCTCTGTGTTTCTGAAAAATGAGAACACAAACTTATGAGAACTGAAAATGGGAAATAGAAAATGATTAATGAGACAAATAAAAATAGTGACAAGATCAACTCGATGGTGGCCTAAATTGATAGATCAGAGTACTATTTATTCGAATCATATTGGATCCTTTGTGAGGCTGCCCTTGAAGATAACTAGGAAACTTCAAACACAATGCAATTACTTGACTTGACAATTCAGAACCATAAGGCAGCTTAGTCACAATGCATTTTAGATTATATGTGGTAACGCAATTGACTTCCAGATTATTTCAAGGCCCCAAATCCAAACCATCTTGATCTTTAAATCCCTTAATGGCTGAGGATGGGAAAGTGTAGACATGTTCTGGTTAGGCCACTTTTGAAGCCCCCCAAATCTTATCTAGAGCCCCTAAAGATTTCATAAACACAAATTGGTATGATTTGTTTGGATGGATGTTTTTTGAATGCAGCCTAAATTGTACATCAGTATGAGTATTCAATGTCTTCATTTCCTGAACCTGCCATTCCCACTTCACTATTGGAGGAAATATAGCCAAATTGTCCAAAACATCACATCACTCTTCTAGCACACAAGTACAAGGAGTTGGTCTGTGGATGAAAATTGTTCACTGCCTCCTCCTCCTCCAAAGAAAAAAGAAAAAAAAAGGCTAACTTTGCTTAATGAGCTAGGTTCTCAATTTTTTTGTGCTCCTTCTCCTTTATGGCCTCCATTCTTGAGTTTCCTACATTCCTAGTTTGTTTAAGTGCTTGATTGTCATCAGCTGTGACAAGAGAAAGAAAGAGAAAGAAAGTACAGCTCTCCAGAGGTTCCTCTCCAGACTTGAATCAGCCCTAGCTAACATTGCCAGTAGTAAAGAATAATGGGTCCTCATGACCTAAACATATATTTTTTTACGCCTGAATTGGAATGGATTTTGCTGGGATAGCACCAGAACTGATGACATCTATTTGTCACGTCTCTTCATTCAAAGGTCAGTAGACCTTCTTTATTTCACCAAATCTGGGGAAATGGTGTTTAAACTTCTACAGCTTCTACTCTTTGGAGGTGGAAAGACAAATGTTTTCACTGTTGCTGTTAATATTATTCATGAACTTTATATCTTAATGTATACAAACACACAAATTGAGACACCTGGTGGTTAATTGGGCTTTGTAAATAATCTGGGTGTTGTAAATGCTTCTCAGGAAACTTCAATTAGAGGTTTGTTTATTTGTTTGTTTTCTTAATCATAGTGACTGATCTCAGGCTTAGAAATGTGAAAATCAGTGTTAATAGAATACTGCCTAAAGCTTACCATATACATTTTGTAGAAATTAATGACTTTCTTTCAACCACAGTAAATGTATCCCATAATACTATATCCTCAGAAAAAGAGCTTTCTAACTTGGTTTGTCTCCAGGTTACCAGAAGGGTTGCATCCAGACAGCGCCTTCAACGTGGGAGTTATCACAATTAAAAGAGGGCTGTTCAGATGATGTCCTAGGCAAAGCCGAATTAATTCACCACAAACCAGGAAAACCCTGGTTTGTGGTGAATTAATTTGTTAGTGGGTTTATTCTGTGTCTTCTTGGAGGGTAAACCCACTCCTTCCGCTGTCTAGACTGCTCCCTCAAAAGTTCTGGACTTTTAAGGTGGCAGTCCAGGTAGTAGTCCTGCAGTTTTCCAGGCCAAAGTAGCCCAGAAAACTGCTAGGACATCAACCCCCTTCCCAAAAGCCCTTTTAAAAGTAAAAGAACTTACCCGGCCTCCATTAGAGTGGTGCCAGAGCATTCCAGGTGTATAGAAATGACGTGTCAGGAGAGTGCGAGGGGGGGAGGCAGGAGCGATTTTTTCCCTCCGCCCCCCATTTCTCCTGGTGTGTCATTTCTACTTGCCAAGAGAGCTTCAGCACCTCTCTAATGGAGGCTGAGTAAGTTCTTTTATTTTTAAAAGGGCTTTTGGAGAGGGGGTTTGAGTGTCCAGGTGTTCTCCTGGAAAGATCCAGGAGCACATCTGGACAGCCGCCTGAGGAAGTATGTGCTTTCTGAGGCATGTTTAAATTAGGACATTTGCGTTTTTTAAACGTGAATGTTCCCGGAATAAATGGCTGTGTGGAAGTGTCCTGAGAGCTTTTCTGGAGAGGGCTTTTCTCTGCCCTATCATCCTTATAGGTATTTTTTGATGTAAACATAAGAGAGGACTACTCACATCATCTAGAACAGGGGTCCTCAAACTAAGGCCCGGGGGCCGGATGTGGCCATCCAAGGTCATTTACCCGGCCCTCGCTCAAGGTCAACCTAAGTCTGTAATGACTCGAAAGCATGCAACAACAACAATCCTGTCTCATCAGCCAAAAGCAGGCCCACGCTTCCCATTGAAATACTAATAAATTTATATTTGTTAAAATTGTTCTTTATTTTAATTATTGTATTGTTTTAAGTGTTTTTTGCACTACAAATAAGATATGTGCAGTGTGCATAGGAATTCATTCATTTTTTTTAAAAAAATTATAATCCGGCCCTCCAACAGTTTGAGGGACTGTGACCTGGCCCTCTGTTTAAAAAGTTTGAGGACCCCTGATCTAGAAGCACCCTGCTCATCCATGCCACAGACCTCTGTAAATTCGGAGTAGTACCTTTGAGTTTAAGGTGGCTTCTGTGAGGTATTTAACTATTTACAGTTGTGGCAATAGCACTACATTTGTAAATACACAGCATAAATGAATGCTACAAATATCTAACTGCGATTAGGAATGCCAGCTATGATCATATCTGTGCTGCTGGAGAACTTTGACATTTATCTGACCTAATTGTAGGCCTGAAAGTGTAATGTACTTGGTCTGTCTATTATTACCCATCTCAGTTCTGCACCAAGTAGTAGTCTACACAAAATGGCTTCTGCATGTGCCCACATTGCACCTTAAATGCCAGCACTTCAAGGAAGGAAAGATTAAATCAGTTAGAATCTTACTACTCATAGTGCTTTTCTCCAAGTGAAAAATTTTGCACAATCAAAATTTGCCACATTTATGTTACATATTACTTTTAAAAAGCTAGCATCATAAGAAGAATGTGTGTTGCTCTGTGTTGACTTGTATTTGAAGGCTTCAGCAAAGATTGAGCTATGTCCCCAAACATCATGTCTGACAAAGACAATGTCATTTGTGAACAACAATCATTGAAGCCTCAGGATGAATCCCATTATTGTCATCTAGATCTTCTTAGTATTCATATTGTGGGGTGATTGACATTAATATGGTATTTTTGCTATTTTTCATGGAAAATCTCTTTTTGTCATAAGACCTCCTCGCCCCCAGTCAAACGGCTGTGTTCTGTTCCTTATATATTTATTACATATTATTATTGTACAGGTCTGCAGAGGGTCATGTTTGATGCTTGTTTTGTGCTTGTTTTTAAACTGTTTGATACCAGATTTCCATTAGTCTTCAGGGCAAAGGGCATTGGAAAACAAATCAAACTATTTTTGCATCCTGTGAGCACCCATTTCACGTATCAGGGCTTAATCACAAAGAAGAAGCACTGACCTAGCGAATAAAAAGAAAGGTTTTGGGTCAATAATCGGTGTAGGTCAGGATTGAGGTTTGACTTAAACACAGGTAGGAGGCAGAAATTACATGCATGAGCTTTCCTTTCATATCGCCCAGCTACTGGGAGCTAGATCAAGCAACGACTAAAAGGCAGCATAACACAGTGGACTGGAATTGTGATCTAAATTTCCACTGATTCCTGAAACTCATTGAATGACCGTGAGCTAATCTCTGTCTCTCTGCTTGACCCATCTGAAGGGGTTGTTGTGAGGATAAATTCAGGAGGATAGCTATGGATACCACCTTGAGCTCCCTTGGAGGCAGATGGGATGACAGTTGCCCCTCCACAATTTCATGTTTGACGTCTGCAGATTTGATTACAATGTTCTCTTTGGAAATCTTCTATGAACAACTTCCACTAGAGCTTGATCTATAGAATTTTTGCAGCAAAATTTTTGGGGTTCTGTGTGTAGCAACAAAACAATCCCCTTCCCCCCCCCCCCCGTGTGTAGCATCCCCCCCCCTTCCCCCGGTTAAGGAGCAGAAAAATACAACTTGTCTTGTCAGTATGAAAGTTTACACAGAAATATTTACATATGTGTAGCAGGAGACTTTGTATCTTGTCCAGCCCTTCTTCCCAATACTCTCAGTTCATACCTTCTTGGCAAAAGGCTCTCTCTGGTTTTCTTCACCAATCCTTCAGGACCCTTCCACACAATCCTATATCCCAGAACATCAAGGCAGAAAATCCAACATTATCTGTGTGTGGATTCAGATAACCCAGTTCAAAGCCTTGATATTCTGGGATATAGGACTGTGCAAAAGGAGCCATCAGTTTATCTGCAGATTCAACTTACAATAGCACACATCACTAACAACATCATCACCAACAACAACAACAACAGAGGACCCTTCCACAGAGCCCTACATCCCAGAATATCCAGGCAGAAAATCCCACAATATCTGCTTTAAACTGAGTTATCTGAGTCCACATTCATAAAATATGGGATTTCCTGCCTTGATATTCTGGAATATAGGGCTGTGTGGAAGGGCTCATAGAAACTTGTGCTTCTTTAGTACATTTACAATCACACACCATGTCTGTAGATTGCTCAGTGCTAGCCAGATGGTTTGACTCTTAATGCTTGTTGGCCCTGATCTTTACTTGTTGTCACTTAAGAAATTTATTTATTTTATTTTATTTATTTACTTAAGAAATGATATGATGTAAAAACTCTGACAAGACTCATACTGGAAAATCTAGAGCCCTTCCACTCAGCCCTATATTCCAGAATATTAAGGCAGGAAACACCACGTTATCTGAGTGTGGACTCAGATAAGCCAGTTCAAAGCAGATATTGTGGGATTTTTTGTGCCTTGATATTCTGGGATATAGGGCTCTGTGGAAAGGCCCCTAGAAATGCCTAGAAGTGTTATCTCTGATGTCAAAAGTG